GATTGTAACGCTAACACAATGTTAAAAGTAAAGTTGAAAGATTTTGTAACGCTAACACAATGTTAAAAGTAAAGTGGGAAGATTTTGCAATGCTAACACAATGTTAAAAGTAAAGTGGGAAGATTTTGCAATGCTAACACAATGTTAAAAGTGAAGTGGGAAGATTTTGTAATGCTAACACAATGTTAAAAGTAAAATTGGAAGATTTTGTAATGCTAACACAATGTTAAAAGTAAAATTGGAAGATTTTGTAATGCTAACACAACGTTAAAAGTCAAGTGGGAAGATTTTGTAACGCTAACACAATGTTAAAAGTCAAGTGGGAAGATTTTGCAATGCTAACACAATGTTAATAGTAAAGTGGGAAGATTTTGCAATGCTAACACAATGCTAAAAGTGAAGTGGGAAGATATTGTAACGCTAACACAATGTTAAAAGTAAAGTGGGAAGATTTTGCAATGCTAACACAATGCTAAAAGTGAAGTGGGAAGATATTGTAACGCTAACACAATGTTAAAAGTGAAGTGGGAAGATTTTGTAATGCTAACACAATGTTAAAAGTAAAATTGGAAGATTTTGTAATGCTAACACAACGTTAAAAGTCAAGTGGGAAGATTTTGTAATGCTAACACAATGTTAAAAGTAAAATTGGAAGATTTTGTAACGCTAACACAAGAAGTGACGTAACGATTTAAAAGCATTTTATTTAAATTGATGCAATAAAAAAGACAACAAAATACATCTTCCACCTTATTCCCTTTCAAATTCTTCCCTTTCAAACTCGTCGTCGTCATCAGAGTATGATTCTTCATCCGTCTCGTCTTCGCGTGGCGTAGACGTACTGATGCGAACCTGGTACTGAGTCCAACGATCGGCTCTCAACTTGGCAGCTTGCCTTCTTTCCTCCACAATTAATTTGTTCCTGTTCTTGATCCTAATGAAAAGTCTCGTCTTGATGTACTTTTCCAGAGCTTTGACAGGTATTTCTTGGTACTTGTTCGATAGGGCTTCGCAGAATCCTTTCAGTACGCCAGGGTTTCCGTTGATCTTGTATTTATCTCCAGTACGATGGTATGTTCTAAACTCTTGTTCTAATAATTCCACCCAATTTAGCCACTTCAACGATGGTACTGTGAGATGCTCTTTACCCAAGGATTTGACCCAGCTGTTCTGATTCAGCATGTCCACTTCTTCCGGTGATGCTTTCAAACCAGGCAGAATATTGCACAACTTGGAGGCAACAAATCCAGCAATAAACTCTTTCCCTCCATGTTCACAACTTTCTGGCATCCCCATTGATTGAAGTACTTCGTCGGCATTGGTTTCATTCAGGTCCTTGATGTTAATCTCCACCTCAGGGAGAATTATTCTTGGTGACGAATTATCAGCATCATTTGATTGCACAGTGGTTAGAGAATGTATCATCCTGGCTGACAAGCATGGCTCATTATCTTCAGCTTCCACGGAAGAGGTCTTGAATGTATTTGCTCCCCACGTTAGGCACAGCAATTTGAGCCTCCTTTTTGCGTCTACGGCAGAAGGCTTGACATGTCCGGCTCCGAGTTTTCTGATTACGCTGAAGGCGTTTTCGGCCAAATCTTGATTCACACGATGAGTCAGTATGTAGCTTATCCGCAGATGACTTCCAGAAAGCTCCTGGAAAAGGCCTCTCATTGAGCTGATGGAGATCAAGAAGCCTCGCTGGAAAGGATACAGATATTTGGCGTCTCCTACTCGTAACTCCAAAATCGCCGACTCTGTCCTATCTAGCAGGTCTAGTTGTTGAGCTAAGTTTAGTCCAAAGGGTACCTTAGTTTTTTTGGCTTCCTTGACTGTTCTTGAATTGAAGAGGTCAAACCAGTCATTGATCAGCAAAATGAATTCCGCTTCTTTTGGGCGATTGAGGTAAACTTTGCGCCAGAGCGCGGCCGTGGTTGTAGAAAAGAGTACTACTGCATATCTAACTTTCATTTTTTCTTGTCCACTAAGGTTTAAAAGGTGAGGGGTTAATTTGCAGTTTGACCTGAGCTCTCCATTATCCATCACCAACAATCCTGCTTAGTTATCTTGAAACCACCGGATATAGTTACGCCGTGCTTCAAAACATTATTTCTCAGAAGTTTGATTAAATGTGGCGCATAAGCAAACCACCAGATCTTGTCATCTTCAAACATAGGATTCTGGAATGACGAGCTTGTCTTATATATTGAGCACTGATTCTTCCGTACCATCACCCCAAACTTGTTCATTAGTCCACGGTTCTTCCCTCCTAAGTCACTCGTCACCGTTCGCACCTTCAAACCGGCACCTTGGACCACTTTAATCATTTCCAATATTTTCTCGACTTTGAATTCGTCGTCAAACTCGTACCCGATAGGCTGTTTCCACTCTGAGAAGAGTCCTCTGACAAAATAAACATTAATGTTTACAGTTGGAGCATAAACTTTGTCCTCGTCTGGGCAATAGGCGTAGGATCCATCCAACGACATTTCGTCGAATACGAAGGCGCATTGGCGTTTGAATTCAGGTTCATTCTGAAAGTAGTTCTTTAATAGATTAATGACAGGCATGATGATTCCTGGCCGAAACTGAATTTTGTGAGTCTGCCTCTGAAGAGTTCTTGTCGAAGGAAACGGGTAGATCATAGAACGGAGAGACTCGTACATGTTGGCCCGATACCGTAGAGTTATACATTTTCCTATTTCTTCATTGTTCCACAAAATGTGTTTTCGTCCAGACACCAGCATTTGGATTTGATTTTGGGCGAAGAGTTTCTCCAGTGCTTTACGGTAACCATTTGCAGCGAATAGAGTCTTTATGTATTTAGCTCGCCATGTTTTCTTCGCCATCTGAGTCCTCCGTCGATTCGTTGCAATTGCGGACTTGTAGGTTTTTGCAACATTCATCTTCTTATTTCGATTTATTGAAGATCTTCCCTTCCAGTACATTACTTGTCCACGCAGGTTCTTTATTTTTTCCTCCTGGAGATCACGCTGAGCTTGGATATCCTGTAGAGGTGGGGTCTCCTGGTGGCTAACAATTGCTGTGGCTCTGAAGATTCGATCGTTAACGTCATTTTGGGTATTTGTAAAGCTGCAATTATTAGTATGATTAGTAATTTATGACCGCATGTGAAATAGTTACTCATATGTTTTACAATTACTTGACCCTTATGATAAAATGGTTCACAGCAACGAACACAAACGGAGCACTTCCAAGCTTGACCTCGACGTTTACAACGTGTGATGGAGTGAGAAGAGGATTGTTGACATCTAGTTTAAGCCGTATTACTTAAATATAAGTTTGGCCTAAATATTAATATTTGTTTGCAAACCGGCAGAAAAATGAAGCGATGGGACCGCTGTCGCGATAAGGCTTCTTATCCCAGAGATGGTTCGATAATCCTCATCCCGAAAATGCCTGCTACAGATTCTACGATTTTTGGCTCCGCTCAAATTGCTTGGGGTATTGGGGACACAAATTGAGTTCCACTTCAAGGCTAAAGGGAGATTCCTCAAAGGAAAGCGGTGAAACTTCAGGTTCCGTTGTACTTCCGGGCGATTCTTGCATCCAACCACTGCGCACTGAACCATTGCAACTGATGTGAGATAACTGCTTTCACTGCTATGAGAGGAAACAAACACAATACTTGTTCTTGATTGCTGGTGAAATTGCCTAAAAAATTGCTGCGATGATGCAAAGTAAAAATTAGTGTCGCGCAGGGAAACCCTGAACTTCTCAAAGTGTTGAGAATTTTTGTGCGGTTTGTTTCTGGGCGACAGTTTGTGCGACGCACACTGGTGCCAAAGGTACCAGGGTTTTCGAAAATTGAAGTTTTTTCATCGTCGAAGCAATTGTCGCAACCTTGTAATTATTATTACTAAAGTTGTCTAGCAACCTTGCATTCCAAGCGATAATTTAAAATTATTTTGCAAAAACCTGACCTAAGAAGGAATTTAATGTTCCAAAAATGCAGTGACCCCAAACATGTAGCCAAATTAGCAATGCAAGTTTTTGGGGATCTACGAGGTTAAGCTTCTCTCGTTGGTTGCACAGTCTACCGATGTGAATCTGATTGTCTGGGTTGAGAAAGGAGAGACTGATGGAAAACCACTCGTCAAAAAACGAGCTGGACAAAATTTCAAACGAAGATTAGGCAGACATGTTAAAAAGCGTTACAAAAAGATTTTTCCAATCAATTACAATGCGTATTTCTGCTCTTATTGTGTCGAGGGGAGGTGATATGTATTACTAGAAGCAGTTTGTCGCAATAAAATTTGCGTTTTATTGATTTATAATTTTTTAAGGTAAGGGTTGCCAATACTTTTTGCGGGTTAATTTTGCAAATTTTCCAACAAATTGTTTAAAAACTGTGTTAATCTAATTTTAATCAATAAAACATGACTATAATCGAAAACTACATTATATTTGCTAAATGCGTACAAATTTTCATGCCAATTGTATAATGCATTCCATGGCTACAGCCAATTTTATTTAGCTGGCGTGGGGGTTGCCAATACTTTTTCCATTGACTGTATGTACATATGTATATTTACATATCTGTCTGTGTACATACGGAGTACCATGAAGTTGTGATACTTACATAAGGAATGACCTAAGGAGACTTGCACAAACCCTTTCCTGCCCAATATTAAATAATCCTCCATATTCTATTCTCATCTTATAACCTGAGGCCAAATTCCGGCCTAAAAACAAGTAAAATGTGACATCGTGCAAGGAACATGTTATTAATATATCATTTTCACTAGTAATCGTATCTGATAATCGGAATTGCATAAGGAAATAAATAATACAGGAATATAAGTATTCCAGAAAAACCAAGATACTGCCAAGAAGATAAACTGAGAAGCATAAGCCACGAAATACCTGGATGTCCTACTAAATAGAAAGGGACGCTGCCAGTCCTACATATTTGCATAGACATACATATTTATATACACTTTTTCTGTCCTTGCTTAACCCTTTCTAAATGAGGACAAACGTATTTGGGTGTGTGTCGAAAATAAATAATAGTTACTGAAATATCTTTGAAACAACGTTTTAGATAATTACACTTGTAAGTGTAATTATGTGTATGTGCAAATAATCGAATAATCAAATAATGAGGGAGTTCATTATTCCTTCGTATCCTTAGTAATCGAAACTTAAGTTACGACGGTTACGAGATTTTGCAAGCGTGGTAATATTTTATCACTAAAAATCGCATTATACAAAGGTTACGATTTTTACGAAGCTTGACTCATATTTAATTTGGATTTCATCGTAAAGTCGACAGCGGCTAAAAGCCTGCAATCATTATCATTTTAAAAACTTGTGCAATTTTATATGGTTTCGATGAATAAATGATTACTTGTCTATTTAACTAAATTACAAGTATTTTAAGTTTTTACTCTTCCATAATTTAACTACGTATTTTTTATTAAGAATCAGATTTTAATTTTCATATTTGGTGTTGACACTGTTAATTCTAGGTTCAGATACTGAAAATTTGCCGACAACATGGAGAATTTCAGCGACAAAAATCGACACAACGTGGAGTTGCGGTCAACTTTTTCCCCAGAGGAGATGAGTTCTCCAAATTTTAGTAAATGCCGCAATTAATACATATTAATCGATAAGCATATGCTTATCGAAAACTTTTCTTTATTACGTGAGATACATAAGTATTAATTTTTCAAATTCACTCCGTTTATGTAGTTCCAGACTCGAAAAATGTGAACGAAGCTATGTCGAAAATTTTCAGGAATACGTTGGTCAGTTAACTTAACTCATTACTACTGATTCTTGTTATAAAATTTCTCTCCGGTGCCCTCTTTCATAACTACATATGTTTTCAATCAACTAAAATGTTAATGATTTCCGACAAAAGATCAATATTGGTCATTTTCGGTGGTTTACAAAACCACTTTTTTGGATTGGTTGGGAAAATTGTAATACCTGAAAAGAAAAATGTCAAAAAATCATCCTTCTACCCTCGAATTTTGCATAACATATGTACATATCAAAGAAATGCTCTTATTCTCTTTTAGAAATTTAGATATTCAATTATCTACATATATATATGTACATATTTATATAATCCCACAAGTTTGAATTTTCCACTAGATTCTCGACGTCATCTTTGCCAAGCTCGATGTCCCTGATTTGAAAACGTGTCGCCCCGTCTGCCAAGACTGGGCCGACGTGGGTGCGACTTTTCTAGGAAAACGGACGATCTTCCGGCTCAACGAGATTTTTACCTACACGGAGCCCAACTTCGATGAGATGCCCCCCATCAACGACAAACTGATGCGACGTGTCCTCCTCTCGGATAATTGCCACTCGTCCATTCCGTCACTCGATAAGAAGGCTGAAGTTTTTACAAAAACGTTTTCCCAACTAACTAAAGTGTCTCGATTAATTCAGGAAATTAATTTTGTCACCCGGCAGACTGAACTTGTCCCCATTTACCTGGAAGGATTTAGGGCGTTGAGGTGCACGAAAATCGAAAAAATAAGCATCCACTGTGACCAAACTAAGCTAAACACAATTCCAGCCGAGGCGTTTCAAAAACTCCCGCCCCAACCCGGCTTGACCTCGCTCAAGTGCATTATTCATTCAAGCTGTCGGAGATCCCCGAGGTCTCCCGACATTCAACCCCTACTCCAAATCTGGATCGATTCTGCCCCCAATTTAACCACTTTGGACGCCATGGCGTTTCTTTATCCAAATTTGGAGGGGTGCAAAAATCTCAAAGTGCTGAAATTTAGATTAATGACACACTTTGGGGATTTGGGCAGCCTCTATTTGAGGAACGTGACCAAGATGCTTGGACAGGTGAAGGATTCCTTGATCGAGCTGGAATTGGGAAATTGGTTGCCTCAGTACGAATCCATGGGCCAGGTAAAGGTTTAGTATGGAATATATGTAAGCACGCTTTTAAAAATAAGGTTACCTTTTTCAAGTGGATAAAGGGATATACCTGAAATTTAAAAAAGCCATAACCTATAGTTTCGTGTACAGTGTACACTAAAGTAAAAATATCTGATGCAGCTCTCGTCCGGCTGGATGAGATCCCAAAATTGCATAAACATTTCCACGTTGCACTACAATTCTCATCATCCTTTGCAGGAGAAAAGATGTCCTCTTCTCCTCCGTGGCGATCGTGGTTCTTGATCCGATTTCCTTGATAAGGGACAGGTCCTCTTTGCCCTACACTCCCATCGTTTCAATGGCTACGGGTACAACCATAGTATGCAAAAAGGCGCCTTTTTGGGAAAAAATTCATGCCTTTTTGCCGGTTTGCCCGTTTCAATGCCTTTTTGCCCGTTTGATGCCTTTTTGCCTTTTTGCGTGTGTTTCTATTTGGTATTGCCTGAACCATTTTACAAATTTTTCTATGGACAAAAAAGTGTGACAACAATGTAATTGGCTTTACATTTCGGTTGTTCTAAATGTTACCAACCTTACAGTTCTGCACAATTAATCCACAACATTACTTCCTTATATACGCAGTTATGGTCATGATAATTTAGAGTATTTGTGAGTAATTGTACACCTAAAGATGTGCATAATTTTTTTTGTGGTGTCGACGATCATCCAAATCGGATTAATAGTGAATTATCAAAGTGAAAGTGAATTGCGAATTGTGAAAGATTAAAACTAACTAATCATGGAATCGTATTATCACATTGCCCCGATTTTACCAAAAAGGCAAAAAGGCATTTCGGGCAATCGGGCATGGCCAAAATTCACGTGCCTAATAGGCAAAAAGGCATTTTAGGCACGGCATGCCTTTTTGCCCTTGCACACTCAGGGTACAACGAGGAATCAATATGTATCTATAAGGGATGTACATATGTAGATGTATATGTATGTACATGCTATGACACAAATACGAACTATATATGATCGGGTGCAGTGCACGGATGGAGATAATCGAAATAGGTTTGCGGCATCATACAGGGAGGATCATATCAACTTTTTGGGGAAGCCGGACGTCACCCCTGGGCGTCAGGGGTGTGGCCGGGGTAACCTGAGATTTTTATAACAATTGAATATATACTCTAAATCCACGCAAAATTGAACATTTACAGAAATTGATAAATTTGAGAAACTACGCCACTGTCAGTCTCAAATACCCTCAAATCATGTTGTCGGGGAACTTTGAGACTAGCAGTGGCGTAGTTTCTCAGATTTCTCAATTTCTGTAAATTTTCAATCCTGCGTGGATTTAGAGTATATGAAATACAGTTAAATTAAGTGTACCCACGCTGTCATACTCGTGGTTGGGGTGAAATGAGATAAAACAAAACCGATGTCAGGGGTGAAATGAGATAAAATTAAATTGATCGCTGAGAAGCAACATGTGACAAATCGAGGGCTATGGGGAAATGAGATAAAACAAAATCGATGACAGAAGTGAATTGAGATAAAATAAAATTGATTACTGTGGAGAAGGTACATAGATAAAAGAAGTCGATTGCTAGAGGAAGTGAGACAAAGTAAAATCGATGGCTGGCGAGAAATTAGATAGTAGAATAAATCTCGATTGCTGGGGTCGAGTTGGAGATCCTCTTTGGCTTCCAACCGTGCACGACGTGTCTCTCTCTCGCTCTGCAACTGGATTTTCTCTCTTCCATCTGGGTCGCGGGTGTGCCAGGGCAAGTGAAGTGTGTCCCAGGCTTTTCGCCCTATGAGCCTCGTCCACTCACACCCCCCAACTGCGTGCCTGGTGACACCCCCTGCCACACCCGTCCCAGCAACGACAAGCCGAGCCATCAGGCGAAGATGGAGTCGCCGGACCAAGTGCACGGGAGGATCTACGCCATGGAGGACTCCCCCCAGGTAGGTCATTGTTTGGTATATCGGGGTGGTGACCGTGGGGGCGGTTGGTAGAAGAGTGGGGACGGGGTCGTGCATGGCGGTGGGCAGTGTAGTCGGGCCTACGGGGGTCCCATGGCCCGGTTGTGCTGTGAGGGGTGAAGGGGCAAGTGGGTAGTGTCGCTCGGCCCTGGTCACACTGTGTGACCGTGAAGGGGACACGTAGCCCGTGCCCGTGAGGGCGCTAAGGTATTTCGTGGTCCGTGGACGCCCCGCCCAACAACCTTCACTCACCTTGCTTCCGCCGTCACGACGCCGTCCTCATTTGGATATCAGCAGTTCCTCGCGGAATCTGCCTATGATCCCTATCACTCATTTGTCCTGCCTGGGTGATGTAGTCAGAGCCGAATGGACCTCTGGGCCACATTCCCAGAGGTGATAGTGGTTTTCCTGGCTCTACACCATAGCCAGGTTTTCCCACTATTCCTCTGACTACTTTACTTTACTTTATTTACATTTACATATCTAGCTCTGTAATTTCTATTGATGAGGGCTCATGGCCATATCAAATGCTAATAAATTGAATATTGAATAGTAATAGTAGAATTGAATATTGCTGGGGTCGAGTTAATTTTTTGTGGAAATTAAATACTTACATATAACGAGAATTATCTTATCAAATACCTCGCTGAAGCTACTTCCATATGTGCACAATTGCTTTCCTTCCGTTGGCGAGTGGCGACAAAGACTTTCATTTAATTAACATCTAGAACAAACTATAATTGGTGGAATTTCGAGTATTAAGTCAACTCTCACCTGGCGGAAGACGGGCTTATACGCTAGTAATATGTATATCCCTAAGTCAATGGGCTGGATGTGATGTTTCTAATTTTCCGACTTTTTTGAAAATAAATAAAAAAAACGTCAGACCCACACCCTCTGTTAATTAAAAAAACGGATTGGATCAAATCTTCTTGAGATTCCAAAAAACAGATCGGGTGGGGTCTTTACACTCTTTCCGATTTTTTTGAAGATGATGAGTTCAGTAAATAATTTAAAAAATGTATTTCTACATGTACGTATCACAGTTTACTGTGGAGGAGCTTCCTATCATGTCGAAACTAACCAGGCTCTCCATCTATCCCATGGACGCGTACCGAATTCGTGGCTGCTTTGATGAGGACCACTTTCCAAAATTAAAAACCCTCTCTTTCCACAACGGAATGCTAGAGTCGCGCTTGATAACCCATCTTATTTTCTGGAGGCGCCACAGAGGAGTTCAATCTCTCGCGTTGACCATGGATTTCAGAGAGGAGGTGGACATGGAATTCAGTGACACAATCATCCGCTTATTTCCTGCGGTTAAGGAATTCGATTTCGTTATGGAGTTTAATTACACTCCCGATTTAAGCCGGATGCTGAGCCCGTTCGGAATGTGGCGTTTGAAACGGGCCAACGTTCTCGCGAAAAATGTGGGACAATCCTCCACGATGATTCAAGTCCTGACACCTATTTTGGTTTGGAAAGGTAAATAATACACTCAGCTCATTTTGAGTCGGACAACCAAAGCTGAAAATATAGCTCTTCTCACGAAGAAAAATCAGAAATGGCCGCTACGATGACTTTTTTAATGATTTATGTTTACGTAAGAAACCGCCAATTTTCGAATTTTGAAACTCTTGATGCATCAAAATGTCCGTATTCAAGGGGAAGTCAAGTGTCAAATGCAACTTTGGGTATGATTCTTTTTTTACCGAGTGTACATTTACTTTCTCATTTTCCCCAATTTTTGAAGCTGGTGTGGTTGCATATAATTCAAAAATGGCTATGCTATATTGATCCTTCTATGCAAAAATAAAGTTGCGACTGTTTATGTAGAATTCCGTGACATCGATGGGAAAAGGGGTTACACTTTTGGCTCATTTTGTACCTTAGGGAAGTCCATAAATTGTGTCACACGAGAGGATGAGGGGGTAGCGTCCAAGGATCCAATGATATGATGTGACACATGTTAATGGGGGAGGAGCGGGTCTAGGAATTGGCGATTTTTTACCCGCCATAATGTATTGACGGCCCTATATTGATAATATTATTTAATAAATGATTTCAGGCTTTAAAACTGTCCATTTCTCGTACCTTTGCGTGACGGAGGATGACTTTTTCCCCTACATTCAAAATCTCATCTTGCACTGTGAAGGATTTAAGAGCGTAGAAATCTCGGGACGGGAGGTGAGCAAAATAACTTTCAGCCATACATTTTGTGTCTTCGTAACAGGCAGGGATGGTCAAAATATGTGTATTTTAAATACAATTTTATTTGGAAAATACAAAATACGTACTTTGTATTCTGTATTTAAATACAAAATAATCAAAGTATTTTGAAAATACTATACAAATGTATTTTGTGCTCTAAGGTGTATTTTTTATTTTGTATTTTTCTTAGTGAGGCAAATACCTGACAACGAAAAAAATTTGCTAAGCATGCATTTACCCCAACCAAAAAAAGTGACATAAGTCGATTTCTCGGCCATTTCTCAACCGATTTTGATGAAATTTTGCACAGATCATTGTTAGGTAATTTAGAAAAGATGTGCTAGTCGACTTGGCGAATTTTTGATTTTTACCCAAGTTATGTGCCAAAATGTGCAAAAATTTTCCCCTGAAAACATATTTATTTTTATGATTCATACATAACTGGTGTATCCCAGCATGCTCGCTTATCGCAAATATTTTAGTCAAAGTCATTCCGGACATTTTAAACGCAAAATGACCTAAATCGGTTGAGAAATAACGGCGTTATTCAAGTTTGAAAATCAAAAATTTAATAAAAATATTCAGGGTGCCGATAATAACGGCGGTTGTGCAGTAAAAATAATGTCATGGACAACCAATCACAAGTTTTAAATAAACAAGGCCCCAAAAAAATGGGAAATCTTAGTGAGTCAGTGCAATCACAGGTAATAAATAAAATTAGATTGAATAACTTTTGCATCACCGCTCTCGGTTTCATTTTTACTGGGTCCACTGTAAATTTAGTTTTGCATACGCATGAACTCTTGCATTCATTAAATTAATTGAGATTACAAGATGACGTTTTACTATTGAACGAGAAGTTTGCTAAATTAATCGATATGAAATATAATTGGGAACTGGGAATTTTAAATTTAGAAAGAGTTACAGGTCTACAATTTCGATATATAAATTTGGATATCCTATTAATTCCTATTCTGATGAAATCTCCAGACCCTTTGAGGGGGGGCAATTATTCTCAATGATTAATTAATGCTTCCAGGAAAGATGAAACCGAGAGCGGCGATGCAAAAGTTATTCAATCTAATTTTATTTATTACCTGTGATTGCACTGACTCACTAAGATTTCCCATTTTTTGGGGCCTTGTTTATGAAAAAAATGTATTTTGACCATCCCTGCTGACAAAGTATTCTCACGACCTGTCATTTAAGTCCAGGGTACCCACTATTTTTTAAAAATCTACGGGAACCTTAGATAAAGGATTCATTTATATTTCCGTGTAAAACTCATAGCCTCTATGAGGTGGCGCCACATTCGCTAAACTTGAATGTTTATAAATAGTTTTAAAACCGCCATAACCTTTGAAATTCTAGACCAAGTTTTTTCGAATATGAAGGCAAGGAGTTAAACTTTCGTAGTTAAAAAAATTTTCAAAATATTTAAGTTCTTAATTTTTTGCCAGACATTACAATTTTCTTATACATATTCATCGGGGTTCCCGTAAAATTCGTAAAGACATCTCAACCTAAGATTTTTAGGTTTGACGCCACGTCACAGCGTCACTTATCAGTTTTACACGGAGAAACGAATGGATCCTTCATCTACGGTCCCAGTGGACCCTAGATGACCCTAGATTACAAAAAAACATAGGGGGTACCTTAGACTCAAACGGGGTATACTGTGTAAGTTCTTCTCTTTTCTAATAATTCAGGAACCGGAAATCGTGGAGCGAATACGACCCATTTTTGAAGCGAGTGGTGCACCCATTCATTTTACGGGAGGCGTGGTTCACAAGGTGAGAGGATGAGAGGATGAGATTAGATACATAAAAACTAAGTGGGGATTCTATAATACAACCATTTCATTTCACTTAATTTTTCTACTATCTGTAACTCTGTCATAACCACATTGTGTAACACACGAATAAAACCTTCGTAAAATTAAAATTATAAAATTTTCATGCACGCATTTACGAAAGGATAAACTTTGCAAAAGTGCTTAAAGCGATTTCCAGCTCCAACACTAATAAGTATTTTCCCGAAAACATTGTTTTACTTTGAAGTGCATATCTTTCAATGACAAGTCATAATGTGTAACTTCGATGCATTGTTGCAACTTCGGGTAAAACCCATGTCATTTTGTACATATCTGGAGTAATTTAAATATGAATTAATCTGAACTCCGAATATATAAAAAATAATGACTGCTTATTGGGTGGTGAACCGAGTCGAGTCAGATACGGACGCACAGGTCGACAGGACCCCTTCTGGGCCTGTATGAAATAACGTGTGAGAAGGAGTAGAGTCCTTTTTGGGGGCTGGTGGGCCACGAATCTTTTTGCACTCGATTCGGGCTTAACTATTGACTTCCTGGCGCACCTACTACCCGTGTACGTCGAGTAAAATAATAACCCAAATGGGGGGTTCCACAGTTTTTGAACCATAAATCTCAAAGTAAATCAATAAACAAGTTAAAATAACCAAATAAATTTGGCATATGTTTAAATATTTTGCTTCCCCAATGAGATGATGGATTCGGATTGGGTTTTTTATCAACCGTATGCAAGTACCTTCATTTTTCAAATTGGTTGTATTCAGCGATTTGTAACCGTTGTGGAAATATTAGCCCCAGAAGCCCTAACAAAATCCAGGTGTCGAGATCTTCGGTTTTCAAGCCCCAAAAGTGGTTGGAAGTAACTTTTGGTAAGTTATTTATTATTACTATATCCTAACCTTCAAATTTTAAAAATAAAAACCCGTGGCCCCCCAGCACCCAAAAAAAGACCCTACTCCTTTTATCATGCAAAGTGGTTCTACATGTCGTCGGTTTTCTCATTTTGGATTTAATTAATTCTAACATCCGCATCAATTCCATAAATGGAGGAAATCGTTGGATGATCGCCAGATTGGATGATTTTGAAAAATCGGCATGGGTCACCCCCATAGGGTACCTCCGGTTCAAAAATTTTCCAATTTTGCTTCATATTCTTTCATTAGGACCCATTAGCACGCTCCATGCCAAATTTCAACTTTCTATCACAAGTTTGAAATTTTATTGAATAATACCCCACCCACTTATATGACCCCCACCGGTCCAAAACTTGTTTGATTGAACCCATCTTCGAACTCGGTCGTTGCATTGCCCAGATACATGTCTGTACCAAATTTGGTAAAAATCGGTCAACTCGTTCGAGAGTTATCGAAAGGTAGACGGACAGACGGACATGACGATGTTGGAAATAAGAAAGCAACTATCTGGGAATATAATGGTGAAAGAAATTTGAAAATCCGATTAAAATTGGATTTTTGGCGTGGTTTTGAATGAGTGAAAGCTGGAGTGAAAGCGATTTTTGGGCACCTTTGAGTGGGTGTGGCGGGCGCAAATGTGGCCATGGAATCAAACCACTTCAGGGTTCTTGTTCATTCATGGGACACTACAACATATCCAAAGGACATCGAGATCCGGGAGTTGATAGTACACAACCTCCCCTCCTAAGAACTAAACCCTATGGTGGACTGAATGGCCTTCCCTAACTGGCCAATAACCATCCCTAGTTATCTTAAACTTTCCCCTAATTTCCCAATATATTTTATTTAACTAAATTATACACACTAAACAAAAATAAATAAAACGATTTTTAACCCCGAGAACTTTAGGGTCGAGATTCAGTTATTAGCTATTATTTTCGACCTGTTAGGGAAGGCCATTCAGTCCACCGTAGGGTTTAGTTCTTAGGGTATCCCATTCAGTCACTTAGGGTCGCCATTAAATGCGACCCTTAATGCAAATATGTATTTTATCATTATTCTCTGTAATTTGACTGAAAGCTTGTCAGTTTTAAATCATTGATGTTAATGTAGTTGCCCAAATTTACAAATTTAGAAATTATAAAAACAATTCAATTAGCTCGAAAACATGCATTTCTGGATACATACATAAATACAGATGTACAAGGATATTTTGGAATCGAAAAATGACACTAGACTAAAACAAGACACAAATTTATTATGTCCTCATTTTAAATTTTTAGCCTTACTGAGCTTGAAGCTTTATATGTAACCCGAAGTTTTCTTTCTAATATTGATTTACAGTGTCGGACAGAAATGAACGTCCAGCTTATGATGCCGCACCAAAATTTGCATAGTATCTGAACTGTTCACACAATCAAACTATATTTGATATCAAATTGTAGCTCCTTTAATATTCTTTCGAAATCAATAATTAGTTATTATATTTCCACTGGGGAAATATGAGAAAACAAATCATGAACAGTGTAAGGTGCAAATTATCGCGTCAAAATTGTACGTCCATTTATGCAAACCAACGATTTATTTGACAACTCTAGCAATCTTATAAACAAATGTATATTCTAATACTTTGTTGGGCCTCCTTTAGCCGATAACACTGCTTCAAGACGTCGGTGCATTGAGTTTACTAAATTTTTTGTCACGTTTGTCGGGATCTCGTTCCAAACTTTTAGAATCCGACTTTTGAGGCCATTTTTTCCAGAAAATCCTACTTTTCGAATTTCTCTCTCAATACGCTCCCACAGATGCTCAATGGGATTCGGGTCGGGGCTCTGTGGGGGCCAATCTAGCTTCACAATTTTATTTTTCTTGAAATATTCCATGGTGGATTTTGCAGAGTGCTTTGGATCATTATCTTGTTGGAAGGTATATCTTCGACCGAGTCCCAATTTTCTGGCTGATTCCTTCACGTTGCGGTCAAGTATTCCCTGGTACTTATATTGGTCGATTATTCCTTCGACAAATTCCATGGTACCAACCATGGAATTCGAAGCCATGCAACCCCACACCATGACCGAGCCACCTCCATGCTTTACAGTTGGATTTAAATTTTTTGGTTTCAAGGCTTCATTTGGATATCTCCATACTCGACATCGTCCATCAGATCCAAATACGTTAAATTTTGACTCATCGCTCCATAAAATAGAGTTCCAGAAGGCATTGTCCTTCGAAATATGCTCCCGGGCGAACTTGACTCTCTTGGTGGCGTTCCGTTTTGAGATGAGGGGCTTCAGAACTGCAGGATGCGACCGAAGATTTTCCGTGTTTAGGGCTCTTTGGATGGTACGGGGACTAACTTTTTTATTAAACATGGTGGTAACTTCAGTTGCTAATGTTGGCGCGGCATTATAAACTGGACATTCAATTGTGTCCGACACTGTAGTTAATTCCTCATAGTTTGACTTCTGAAAGAAGCAATTACTGCTATGGTTGTACAATTCCCGCTCCCTCCGAATAAATTCCCGTACTTTGCCTCGCTCCCAATCGTCCCAATAAATTCCCTGTTCACTACATATATTCCCAAACATATGTAGTTCAATAATGTCATGCTTTAAAAAAAATCTACACAGGATGAATGAAAGAAGTGGCATTTATTTTATTACTTTAATGTATTGTAGGTTAAAAACTATATATAATTTTTAAATATACGCATGCAAAATTTTTAGGTTACCCGGACTCCAATAGTATATTCAATAATTTATTGATAAGCCAAACTTTTATTTTTTCATGTAACTTTATGGGCGATGCGCCCGAAAAAGTTCAGTAAATAAATTATACATGCATACATACATACATACATATATTCCCAAACAATTATATTCCCTGAATTTTGGAGGGAATATTGGGAGTTTTGAGGCAAATTGAGAATATTATTCGCACTATAAATAAATGCGCTCATGTTATACTTACTTGGTTACAAATAATCCAAGGTTGCTTGACAACTTTAGTATTACTTTAGTATTATTTTGTATTATGATAAAGTGTCAAGCAACCTTGCAAATAATCTTTTAATTGAGGAGTTATTTTCTATAAACGATAACAATTTTTGGAAGAATACTTCAAAACATGTTCCCAGGCTAAAGAGAATTGCAAAACTTGCTAAAAAGTTTCGCCGTCGAAACTTCCGGCAACCAAAGGAGGCAAAATTATCCTGACGTTCCACTTATGCACACTGTTCCAATTTACAATTTAGCCAAAACCAATTTCAGGCAATTCCTTTTGGCACAAGTTCGGAATGCCCATCTAACGTTTCGGATAGCCAACTGGAAGCAAAACTCAAGCCGTGGTGATTAAAATATGACGACTCGAAAATTGTTGCTCTGGATTGTGGGATTGTCACATTACTTCCAAATTTTTATCCCATTAAAAAGCATTTTCAACAAGCAGCGACGGGAGATATTGTTACAAACAATCTGGAGAGTCATTATTCAAGCCACGTCCATCGTTCTCCGAAAACTCTTATATCGGACAAATACTCAAAGGCTATATATTTACTGGATTTAATGAGAATACATTCACAGCGGATTGCTGAAAAATAATAGCTAACTAACTTAATCCTTAACATACTAATGCTTACTTTTATGAGGTGGAATAATTTTACTATAACAGAAATTTACATAAAATTCTGAAATTGGAGCACATTGAAACGATCTTAGAGCAGTTTCCGTTTAAAAGCAAACATTCTGTGAAAGTGAGAGACTTGTACAGTTGTGAAAATGTGCATTTGAAAATTCAAATCTCGCAATTAATTTCTCAAAATTGCCCGAAAAAAAGAATTTCCAAAGTTCCCAGGAAAATAAATTCCCGGAAAATTGGTAATTTTGGGAATTCCAAAATTCCCAACATTCCCTGGGAGCAGGGAACGGCACAACCATAATTACTGCTAGATCCCCGAAAAGGCACCTTCGTTTTAATAAATATATGTAGCAATATACAAATCGTTTTAAAAAATTAACTCTGCATTAGCGTGGAAAACTTAAATCGCTTTAACAAAGTGTTGGCGAAAAATGCATTTAAAGTGGATACCACGTGAAAAATTCCACCATAGGGGCGCCGTCGAGAACTTGCCCCGGGAGCAAATTTCCAAGATCGGGCGCTGTCTGCAAGATTTGGCGCCAGAATTCAAAGCATAAGCCATTGTGCGGAAACTTATGACCGTACTGTGTAACCGTACCGTGTGACCGTACCGTGTGCGTTACCTACGATTTTTTCAGAAACTTTCAGAAAATTTTTTCAGAAACTTAAAAGCAATGTGGCATCATTTAGTTGCAATTTGTCGGCAAATAGTTGCATGGAAATCCACAAAAATGCATACAAATGAAGGAAATGGAATCCATGCAGAAAATCTCATGTTTTTAAGAAATTTTATATTTTCCTACCATGCCAACCGATGGTAAGAGTCAGTTATCTAAATTTCTATGCCGATATGAAAAATATTTTTCTACAACTCGTGGGTTTGACTTATCACGATTGATAAATTACTTTACTGGCATATTTATGTATCATGAAATTTGTATGTATTTAAGTAGCTGAACTTCATCTCAAAACATACATAGGGCACATGCGGCCAACTCAATTTCGTCCTTTCTTTTGTTTCGTTTCGCACAGCTGCCAGTAAATGTTTATTTTATTTTTTTTAATTTAAAGCGAAATTAAGTACCAATTTTGAAACTTTAGCTTATGTCTAAAAACAGTTTAATCGAGACCTGCTCGCGATTTAAGGAGGAATTATTCACAAGGTCTGACCTGGAAAATTGTTTTCTCTCCAATAAAAATGCATACGAAGTTTTATAGCATTTCTTTTTTATGAACAAACTCGTTCAATTTATTCCTAATAATTTGTCATGTTTTGTGAACAGCCAAGCGGGGACACCACGATGAAGGCCGAAGTTGACCAAGCCGACACCCGATTAGAAAATAATGACGATGACGACGCCAAGGTCGCAGTGACGACACATGTTTTGCTCACTACTGTGGTATTTAATTATTAATTTAATTTCACATTGCAAAGTTAGTACATAATTTTGCAATGCGAAATTCCCACCATTTTACCCTAGTTCACGCGGCGAACCCAACTGGCTTTTTTTATTGGAGTGAGCCAGAAAGGGTTCGCGGAAAGTGCATAAGGAAAAACGCATGGATAGAGGGTTCATTTTTCCCCCTTAATCGCAGTGGGTATCCTAGGATTTGTACGGCCTGTGGAATTTCCAAAAGTACGGCCGGTGTGTTTTACATATAGGTGATATTTTAAGTATGGTGTATATACATTCATTTTATGCATGGTAATTAATTTATTATTGAGTGGTAGAAAATTAGTTACCAACTGGTAATATTTTCAAATTTCGCGACCGAGGTTGTTACGGGTTTGGTAACAAAATGTCTACCACTCAATATCAAATTAATTACGATGGGGTCGAGTCACGTAGATACTCCGCCTGGTAATAACTTAGTTACCGAGTTTCTTCGAGTGTACATATGTCTTTACAGTGCTACATATATGCATATGTATGAGTATGTGTATTTACAAAGTTATTAGTACAGAAGTACATAATGATATATGTAATGGACTATTTTTTTCCGCCTGGGACCCCCTTTTGGACTTTATTTTTTAATTTGAATGAAACCTCGAAAATCGTGTTCAGCATACTTGAATTAGTGGGTTTAGACCAATTTTGGGTCTCAAAAATTTTTTATTTGGCGCAAATGGGCGGTAGTTAGTTCGTGAAGGGGGTTGACATCTCCCTGTTTTCTGAGATAACCACTGGACCGATTTTGTCCAACTGGGGCTTAAAATGATCACAAATACTTCCTCCTGAGTGGTCCTGGAGATGGTACTGATCCGTGACCTAGATGACCTAATTTTGACCTATTTTGAATTTGTTGCAAATCACGTTAAAATCGTATATAATTTTGAATTCCAGCCTGAAACAATTTGTTTGGTGCAAATTACATCTAACTATGACCTTTGTAATGCAAACAGCAGCATGTCGAAGGTCAAGAAAAACTTTAAGTTTTTATGCATAAATATCACAATACTTGTGCACATCATCATAACTTGAGCTTAGTGTGACGAAATTTTGCTCGTGTGCATTTTACCCCATTTGGCAAGAAAATTAAACACTTCAAACCCAAAATTCGAACCAAACGCTCACACAAACGCCCATTGTTCAGGACAATATGAACCTAAGCAATTCTTCACAAGGAAATATATTATACATCAGACGCATTGATAGCAAAATAAGCTCTTAAAAAATGAGTTGGAGTCAGTCCCATTTGGTTATCTGCTTTTGCAATAATTTTGATTTTGATTTTTACAACAATATCCACATCAGTAGTCCTCAACGACAAATTAAAATTATATTAACCATCATTATAACCATGTAACAATATACAATTTTCCACATTTTCAACAATGAATTCAGAACTTGGCATGATGTTTAGTTTGTCGACTATACTTGACCTGATGATAATGAATAACTGCATGTATAGTCGAAAGCTTGCAATTTGATAATAACACGGAGACTTTGTTAACATAAAAATTGATAAATATGAAATACACTTACTAGGGATACCTTTTCTATGATAGTTGAAAAATGAGTTCTAATTTAACTTTTCGTATGCACCATGATATGTTTTGATTACAAAGTGCAAAAATTTTTCTGCAAAACCAATTTGCTAATTTTTTAATAGCCTTCAAAGTTGGCGAAAGTGGGGGTGGAATAGGCAGAGTGGGAGTGTGTGGAGATGGGGGCGGTCGTATCCCTCGCTATACACTACCACCACCTGTTACGGTCATTATGATCTGGTTATTTTTCGCGACACAATTCAATGTTTAATCTTAAAATTATGGACCCAAGTTGAACTAGGTTTGAATGGCAAAGATAATTCTTTAGATTTTATAATTCCCCAGCGTTTTAAATCCACTTCACCAATGTGTATTACAGATTCTCTTGCAAAATTAAATCTTTCGAACACAAAATCTTCTATATCTTTTAACTTCTTCAGTTTGTTGCCATTCTGGTCGATGTACGTGTTCATCCGAGAAATTGTTGCATAAGTTGATATTTTAGGGAAACGTCGTCTAGTTTTAAACAATTTATTTGACTTAACACTGTCGTAAAACTTTAAATCTTTATCATTTCTTCGAGATTATAATTATTATGTTCGATACTTTCAACCTCCCATTCCTGCGATGACGATTCTTCGGAAATTGCGTCGGTTTGAGCTGCACTGTCACCGTAAATGTCAATTTCATCGTCACTGGAAATTTCCAATGCATCGAGCGTTTCACATGTACTGGTTGAAAAATTAAGTAAATTTTTGATTAAAATCAGTCCTTCACTTGCTAAGTCGTTAAGATTTAAGCCACTGTCAATTATCCAGCGGGTACTCCAGCGGTGTCATATTTTAGTTTTACTAATTCTAGTAACAATTGGCACACTTTAATGATTTTCGCCATATTTAGAGTGGTAATTGCTAATATGATTACTTAATTGAACAATTTTCAGAGAATTTTTAACAAAAGAGAAAGAGCAGATGACTAAAATAACAATAGGATTTAAGTATTTGGTGCGCAAACTGGGCAAACTGATCTTACCACTGCGCACAATGCCTTCAACATGCATCAATTTTTTTCATTCACTTAACTAAATTTTCTTACAATTAATTAAATTTCAAGTAAACATACATAAGTTACTAAATTTATCAAACATAAGTTACTGATGGATTTCCTTGGGTCACACAGATAATAATGACCGTCACAGGTGGTTAGTGTATAGTGGGGGGCACGACCGCCCCCATCTCCACCCGCTCCCACTCCACCTATTCCCCCCCCCCATTTTCGCCAACTTTGAAGGCTATTAAAAAATTAGCAAATTGGTTTTGCAGAAAAATTTTTGCACTTTGCAATCAAAACATATCTTGGTGCATGCAAAAAGTTGAATTAGAACTAATTTTTCAACTATCATAAAAAGGGTATCCCTAGTTAGTTGGTTTGGGGAGTTGACTCATGTTGTAGGTCGGGAAAACCTTTACTTCATCCGGATAGGCGCAATATAATAAATATTTCTCAATGAATATGTCGTCTGACGCCGTTTTAAACAAATAAATAACAATTCGTGTGCTACGAAATTCAACCACCCGAAGTTGGAACAGTTGATATTGATCTTGTAAATTCGCATTACATCATTGAATAAACAAATAGGGAGTATTCGGGAAGGATTAGGCTAAAAAGTTTGTGAAGTTTTGACGAAAGGTTCAAAAGTGTGCGTCCTTTCGACGGTGATAAAATTAAGCAGCAGATAAACATGTGCTTTCGCACCAACATAATCCTTTTGATGATATTCGGTTATTACTACCTTAGATATTTTCATTGTCTTAGTGTGAATACAAAAAGAACCGTTACGCTGATCCCATTCCCGGCCAATTTTTAAAATATTGAAAAATCTTTAAATTCATCGAATGCGCGTTTGAAGTGTTTAATTTTCTTGCCAAATGGGGTAAAATGCACACGAGCAAAATTTCGTCACACTAAGCTCAAGTTATGATGATGTGCACAAGTATTGTGATATTTATGCATAAAAACTTGAAGTTTTTCTTGACCTTCGACATGCTGCTGTTTGCATTACAAAGGTCATAGTTAGATGTAATTTGCACCAAACAAATTGTTTCAGGCTGGAATTCAAAATTATATACGATTTTGGACAAAATCGGTCCAGTGGTTATCTCAGAAAACAGGGAGATGTCAACCCCCTTCACGAACTAACTACCGCCCATTTGCGCCAAATAAAAAATTTTTGAGACCCAAAATTGGTCTAAACCCACTAATTCAAGTATGCTGAACACGATTTTCGAGGTTTCATTCAAATTAAAAAATAAAGTCCAAAAGGGGGTCCCAGGCGGAAAAAAATAGTCAGTGAGATTTTCGCAATTGCGATTATGATCAATGACAGCTTCAAATGTGTCATTTTAGTAGATAAATAACCCGTATTAATATTTAAGAACCACCTGACCAGTGTCTGAGCTAAAGGCCCAATGGTGCAATTTTTTTTGAAAATTTTGAGAAATTTTTACCCAAATTGGACCAAATAATTTTTAAAATAATTTTAAACTAATCTTTGTCTACTCCAATTTCGAGGCCAGTTTCACAAGCATTTAAAGAAATTACAAAAATTGTGAAAATCCGAGGAAAATTGGATTTTCTATTAAGGTGTTCCAATGCTTATTTACGCATGAAGTTATTTTCTCCGATTTCTAACGGGACTAATTTAAAATTTCTCACACAAAGAAAGTAGCCAGACCATATTTTGTTTCTGGAATGTGTTTATTTTTGTGAAAGCGAAACCCTTTAATAAATTTTCAGTATAAATCAGGATTTTTCAAAACGCTATAGACGGTGTCCACACCAAACCTTGAAGCCTTGGCAGCTGGATTTTTTATTTTTGAATTTCCATCAAAAATAGGTCACAGTCCATGAAATTAGTGCAAGAGAAGAAAAATTTTGGAAAAAAGTTGCTACAACATTCAGAATATATATACTTTGTGGGGTCTGGGACCACCCCCTGATTTTCTAAAAATCAAAGAATGTTACGAATTTGGGCATACAGCATTTAACACAGCAGTAGATTGAGAGCCAACATAGCAAAAGACCGACGAAAACTCAACATTACTCATTGGCCTCTAATCAGGGGGTGGTCGCAGACCCTACAAAGTATATATATTCTGAATCCACTTGCCGAGATCTTTCTCACGATACCCCATTTATGGGGTTATGTGAGACTTGACATCATATTTATAAAACCATGGGAAAATGTGCATGTCGAAAAGTGACCGGTTTTGAGGTCATTTTCGACATTAGCCCTAAAAACGAAAAAGTCTCGCCTGGGGACAGTCAAGACGGTGTAGAATCCGAAATTTCAGCTTTCTAGGTCAAACAATGGCGAAAAAATCGACTACGAACCCTACTCTAGATCACAAAAATGGTCATTACGGAGGGTTGTAGCAACTTTTTTCCAAAATTTTTCTTGTTACACTAATTTCATAGGCTGTGACCTATTTTTGATGGAAATTCAAAAATAAAAAATCCAGCTGCCAAGGCTTCAAGGTTTGGTATGGACACCGTCTATAGCTTTTACACTTATCAACTAACGTGAGTCCCTGAGCTACTTCTATAGAATTATAAACATACGGTTCCGAAAATTTTCAAACTTTAACATTTGACGCTATCGCGAAATTTTGATAACAACTAAATAATGCAAAAAAGAATTTTTAATAAAATAATTTCTAAAGTACATGTTTTAATTGTTCTGTAAATAAGATAAATGTAATTCTGAGGAAACGTGTTCTTTGATGCTTGACATCAGTTTAGACTTTGAAACGTTAAGCCGTTGTGAAAAATTCTAATTTGGCCTACAATTTATGTAAAAATTCCGACAGGCGAAATCACGCGCAATTAAGAAAATGCAAAAATTCGATTCAGTTTATTTCTTTATGAAAAATTTAAAATTGGTCAAATCAAAATAGGTGAATACAACTTCATGAATTGTTAGTGCGGCTAATTGAATTCTACGAGGACACAATTTTTGTTTATACATGATCCCGCAATTTTGTAACTGCAATTTTTTAACCGCAATTTTTTAGCCACATAAGCCAAAAGTATGTGCGGACAATTTCTTTCCTTCAATTTCCAGGGGATTTTTAATGTAACCGATAGGCCAAGATTCAGAACATTTTCTTCTGAAAAAATTTTGGAGGGCAAAAGACATATAACAATGTTTGAAGTCGCTTCCGCCGTGAAAAATCGAAAACTGAAATATACGTTTGCATATATGCGTTTAAATACACACGTTAAATATACACGTGTAACCACTTTGGAACAGAAAATGCATAGGTATTTTTAGAGTTGCCAGCAAGCCGGCTTATTGAGTTGTGAGTCAATCCAAGCCGGCTTATTGAGTTGTGAGTCCAAGCAAGCCGAGTTAGAAGCAAGCCGGCTTGGCTTGACTCGACTCATTAAGAACCAAGCCAAGCCGAGTGAGTCGAGTGAGTCAAGTCTGCTTATTAATACGCGGATAAGTATGCGCGTGCATTAAGTGTGCTTATAGTAACGATTCTTAAATTAAAGTTCGTAACTAATTATTACTGCCGAGTTTACTAAGGGCTAATGCAAATGTTTTTACGCACGTAGTAATATTTGACACTTGGACAATTTGTTAAGTTTCCACTTTTTTATCCAACCTTTTTCTCAATTTGTCAATTTAAATTAATTTGGATTTTAGAATGAAGACCAATTATGGCCTTGGTAGCAATGTATTTTAATAATGTATTTTAATACGTAATTTCTGTAAACTTGCCAATGTGTGTAACTATTTCTAGGGAAAATTAGGTTTCAAACTTTTGTAAACGTAGTCAAATCTAGCTTGTCTTTTTATTTTTTAAACGTTTGTAAAATTATTTTAAGAAATTACGGATTTTACACGACTGTCGAAAATGACGAATGAAAATGCGTGAATTAGCTCAATAAATTTTCTCGATTTTTACATAAACCTTGTAAGCTCTGAAAATTGAACATAAAACGAAACCATTTAATTTTCTTGGGTTCATTACCTTTCACATTTTCAGCTGTGAGATTCTAAGCCATTTCTGGCCAAAAAAAACCCTTGACATCCACCAGTGTAGCTTGACACGGTTAAATATTCTGCGTTAAATTTGCATTTTTGTGTGCGCTTCGGAAGAAAAAATGTGTGAAGTATTTTTCATTTAGGATTATTTGGTTATTTACATATATTGGTGTTTAGTTATTTGCCATTTAACATTTTTAATGATCAAATTAAGCTTCTAATTTTAATACATCCTCAATTTAAGTGATTAAATAGGTCAAACTATTTCTTACAATAAATTTATATAAAATATGTTAACTTGTGTGTTTCGTTGAGCACAAAAAACTAACACCTTTCTTGACTTTTAATGAAATAATTATTCAATTGAAATAAACGACAAATTGGAAAGTTGTCTTATTTGGATATTGGAGAGTAAGTTAATAAATGATGTTGCCACATATTAATATTATTCCCCTCCTCCCATTTTGTTAGCCACTGCGACACAAAGATCATGTTTAAATATTTCTTGGTAATTGGCTTTTATCCAGCCCTTCGTACAAATACACTCCTGTATTGTTGATGGCGACATTTTTTGCCTCTTGGGGGTTAATAGAGTTGATCCAGAGGAAACTAAACGCTCTACTGGAACTCCTGCCCCGGCTGCAGTCAAGAAATCCCTTGCAATTTTTGAGAGTGTTGGGAAATCTGACTCGTGGTTCTAAAAATATAAAAAGTTAGATTTTCACCACATTGTATTTTAACTTATGTAACTGGTTAATATTTACCTTCCACCATCCTAGCGCACCGGTGTCCAGTGCGTTCGGGCTTATCGTTGGCTGCAATAGGTATCTTGTAATCTCATCATTAGAATTATGACGTCTATGCAGTTGCATAAACAAATCGTTCTCATCCGATTCATCTAACGGCTCCGAGCTAATCTCCTGTTCATTTGCGTATGAGGATGTCCAATAACTTTTGATTCGACTATTATCAAATTACATAATAAATTACAATGTAGGTGCACATTAAAATATTTTGTGTTGAACTTACCTCCTGTATTTCTCAATAGCACTAGAACAGAATCCAACTGATGAAAATCACTCAGTTTTGCATCGCGGGTCCAGCACTATGGGAGACAAAGTTTTTAAAACCAAATTTATTAAAGAATTTAATTATGTATGTACGTAATTAATTATGTATGTAATTATTTAATTTTGCAAATAGTTTTAAATTATTTCCAAAATTTCTTAATTTTCATGAAAATGGGGTTTCGGAGGAAAATTCTAAGCAAATTGAAAAAGGTAAAGATTCATAATTTTATTTCTTTTTGCTGTAAATCCCACGTGACTAGCAAAAATTAATGAGGTGGAAGATTCAGGTTTTAAAGTATGGCGCTGCGCCAGATATGTCTACGGAAGTATGAAAAATCCTTGATCTAGGGAACAAAATGAATATAGAAAAAACAGGAGATACCCTGGACTAGATGAGCAGTCGGGAACTTCTAACGGAACTTCTAACTTCTAATGGAACCTTTTTAACCTACACTGGGGTTGTCCAAATAGTTGTATCAAAAAATGAAATCAAAAATTAGGAATTACATGGCGCTCATTATTTCGTTGAATGGCCCTTTAAAGACAATCTCTCGTGGCTTTAAAAAAAAGGTTCCATTTTAAGTGATTTGAACATAAAAGTAATTAAATTCGCCGAAAAGCTAATCATAACCTGTCCCAACTACGTAAGCCAGTCCATCTGATGATGGATAATATTTGTCCAGTTTTTCATGAACTTCCTTTGCCGCGATCCGGACCCACGTGGGAAATGGTCTCCCGGTTTTTGGATCAATCGCTTTTAACTTACGTTTGGCGTCCACGCGGTATTTTTCCAAATGTAAGAAAATTTTGGAGTAAACCAGTGAGCAGAAGGAGATAGTCGGGAAATCCTGTTTTGACATAAGTTCTGTCATGGCTTTGAAGGGCTAAATATTAATTTATAAAATGCATTTAGAACTATGTTCCCATGCATATACACATACATACATGTACCCAGTAACTGGGTCAAATTCAATGCACAAATTTCTAGCCAAACCTGCAAGAAACAGGTCATATTATGGACCATTTTCCACTGTTCTTGAGTAAGAATCCAACCGATTAATTTTGACTCCATCCGAAGAGTGCACTCTAACGGCTAGAATTATATCCGTAATTATTTATCTGCATATTTTCCATTTCTAATAATTTGGCATTTCTACCTTTTGATATTCAAATGCTCTCTCCATCATTAAAAGAGTAGAGTTCCATCTGGTACGAACATCCAAAAGTAATTCCTTCTCTTCAAGTCCGAAAATTTTGCATTGACTTCTAAATTGTTCACGTCGCTGAGGCGAAGCTCGAACGAATGCGACACATTTGTCAAGCTAAAATATGAAAATTCGAATATAAATAATTGCCCAATTCTTGAATTTTGCGGATCTACCTTAGTGAGAACAGGAACCATGGTCCCATCTGATGCGGGGTCAATGTCATCAATATTTGTGCCAGATATGTCCCGTAAACTATCCAGCGCAGTTTGGCAAACAAGATTTAGAATATGTGCGAGGCAGCGGACACGGAAATCTTCGACACTGAAGTCAATATTCTAAGGAAATGAAATTAATTAGAACATGTAATTACTTCTATTCAACTAAAAATGAGATTACATTATTCGTACCTTTTCCAACATAAGTCTCTTAAAATGGGTAAAAAAAGTTGTCATATTGGAAGCGTTGTCGCTTGTTATGGAGTGCACTCCTATTTAATAAGTCAAATTCCTCCAGGACTTTAAAAAATTGGGTGGCTAAATTTTCGCCGGTGTGAGACCCATGGAGGATTGTTAAATCAAGGGGCAGCGACAAGAGTTGCCAATCTTTTGATATGCCTTGAACAATTATCCCCTGGAATGCATATTGATTGGAAGATGTCCAGCAATCAAGGACGAAGGAAAGCCTTCCTGGAATCTCCTGGAACGAGTGGAAAAATGTTTAACCCTTTAACGAGTATGATTTACTACAAGAAAATACATTAATTCGGGGACGTTGTAAGTATGTTGTGGTCATGGTGCGGGAGGAGGAATTCACGAGTTTTGATAAAACTCGAAAAAACTAAAAAATCAAAAATCTAACATTGCATTTGATTGGGAAATATCCAAATTTTTGGTAAGAAAATTTTCAAATTTAGCATTGTGTTGGTATAGGAGAAATCCCTCAAAATTCCAACAAATCTTATGTCGCGGAGAGAAAATGGTGAAAATCAATGACCTCCTTAAAACGACAATTGTCTTCCTACCGCGCCATGACCACGATTTTTCAGGAAGACTTTTGTCTTTCTCCCGAATTAAACCATTTCTGACAAAACGACAATTGCCTTAGCTACGAGTTAAAGGGTTAAATCTTTGTGTGATATAAATGTGATCTCCATTAACCATTCAGGAATTAGTTTTCAAGACTATTGTCAATTAATAAATTGGATGTTAAAAGATATATAACAATTTGCAAAATTTACATGTAGTTTGGACGCGATCCGCTGTTTTTCCTTCTGATATCTCTTCGATATTTTTGAACGTATAGTAGTCCGACCAGGAATTTTTATTTCGGGCTTCAGCAAATCCAAAAGTCGTCGAAATGATGGTTCTTCCACAATGCTAAATGCTTGGTCCGTCTCCAGAACAAATTCGGTTAAGGCGTTGACAAGAATTTCTTGAGTTAATTCCTAACCAAGATAATTAAACGGAAGTCAGTTTTATTTGAAATGCCACAATCTAATATTGTGTAATTATTTTACTGGTCGGTTGGAAGGAGAGGAATTACGAGGTCGTTTAATCGAATTTAGACTCTCTGATTTTTGTAGCTCTGATGGGTGATCCGATAACATGTGCCTTTTCATATTTGAGGTTACTCCATCGCTGTTTTTGTATAAAGGTTTCCTGCATAAAAATAGAAAAACAATCATGGAAACTTGATGTTGAACACATGATTTACATATTCAGCTTAAATTCTATATAGACTTACAAGCAATATTTGCATGAATATTGGGTTTTGTTCGACGTTAAAAAAAAGTGATCATACATCTCCGACCTTTGCCTCCGATTTCCAAAATCCGATTCTCGATCACCGACAGAATTTGAAGCCGGACTGGACTCGTTAGACGATCGGGACGCATCGTCATGCTCTGTTTGCAAAATATCAAATGGGTTAATAATTATGAGGATTATACTGTCGATTTAAAATATTTATAGCTAAATTTAGTGTAACAAGTCACCCATTTTAATTAAATTTTTCACCAGGATGAAAATAATCAGCAGCTGACTTAATGTTGTACGCGAATATTAGCGGTTTACGTTACCCGGGCCTTCATGAGTGAGACACATCATCATAATGTTCTCCACAATTGCAAATATGGATAAAATTTAAAAAAAGTGGTGTGGAACGAAGTGAATAAATATATGTAAGTACGAGGAGGCTGAGCCAGCCGGCTTACTGAGTGAGTCGAGTCAAGCCGAGTTCAACTCACTCAGAACTCACAACTCAATAAGCCGGCTTATTGAGTTGACGGCTTACTTACGGTCAACTCGACTCGGCTTGACTCGACTCACTCAATAAGCCGAGTCAAGCTGAGTTGAAGTGGCACCTCTAGGTATTTTAAGTTTCTTCGATATTTCTATTGTCCGGCGACGCTACTATTTAACCGGATCCTGGTACGGCCGGACCTGCGGTCCGGCCTGTGGACACCTCCACACCTAGCCTTATGGACGGATACCCTCTGCTTAATCGATAGTATTCACGCAGCGCGTGATGGCTGATGCCCGGCCAAGCAGTGCGTGCTTCGGCCCACGACGGTGGTGCACCACCGTGTCTCACCGCCACCACCACCAATCCCCACATATCCTGGCTTCAAAAAATGACGTTGAAGCCACATAGGTGGCGTGGACACCCCAATTTGAGCATATTCTCTCGAATGTCGGAGTCGCGTCTCCCCAAATTCGATGCTCTAAATGGCGGTGCCGACGCCACCTATGTGACTTCAACGTCATTTTTGATGCCAGAATATGTGGGGATTGGTGGTGGTGGCGGTGAGAGTTGCAGCCACCACGTTTGGCAGCTGGAACGAAATCGTGTGTGCTCCAAAAATCTCACTTTTTCATCTGTTTTACGTGTGCTTTTTTTCAAATACACTTTCCAGGAACTCTAACTGTGGTTCAGTTAGAGTCCTCGCAGGAACTAATTTTACCCAACTTATATATAACTTTCAATCTTGGATATTATGGGCAAAATAAATAAATATGTATAAAATGGGTGCAAATATTATTTCAGGTGCTGGAAAAAGTCCTACACTATTTGGAAATCGCGCCACTGAAGTTAGCTCGCGGCGTGTGTCAAGATTGGGCGAAAATGGGTGCCAATTTCCTCGGCAAGCTAGTTCGGATAACTTTTTCGCAACCGCCAAACCGCGCAAATCGTGAAGAGTTGGCCTCATTCGATCTCCACCTAGCTAGGAACGTGAAAATAGAGTTTTTAAGAGACCCGTCTTGTTCGTGCATCGATGCTTGTTCATGTTCAACAAATATGCCCAAAAATTTTGAAAACATTTTGCCCCATATTCACGACAAGTTGGAAACACTCGAGTTCTCTGGGGTCAAAGCGTCTAAGCCACTACAGGACATTTGGACCACTTATGATTTCCCACGCCTCACCAAGATCTCGATCATCGCCAATATTAACCCTGGCGATAGGCAGGCGCCACCACCACAGGAAATTGCTCAATTTCGACCACTCCCAAGTCTGAAGTCATTCTGCTTAGAAATGTCGCCTTCAAATATAAATTCGCAGTCAAAGGCTTGGATGGCTGCCATTTGCGACAACCTGGTCAAGTCGGCCTCCAACCTGAAGAAGTGGACCTGGATCAAAATTCCTATTTGGACTTGACGGCGTGTGAAAAAATTAAAAAGTTGGGGTCTAAGAGTCGATGTGGTTCACAATTGGAAATTTTAGAGATGACGAGGATGCTAGATAGTTGTCGAAATTCCTTGGAAAGTTTGTCCTTAGAACATTTTGCCTGCAATACGAACCCCAGACAGGTAAAAACAATTCTCTCAATTTTTATTAAGGGATGAAAGCACTTTATAAGATCGTTATATCCGTCCGTCCGTCCGTCTGTCCGTAGCTCCGATAACTTTTGAATGGAAAGACATGGAGACTTTAAATTTTAAACGCAAACTCCTAACGTCAATGGACAGGATGAGTTCGAAGATGGGCACTGTGACATTGACAATGACGTCGACGTCGTCACAGTGACGAAAAGTGGTGAAAAAGTGTCGCGTGTCAGTTTTGGCAGTGACACATCATTTTTAACTATTTTTCAACGACGAATTCCAAAATTCATGTCATTTTGCGATTGGACGTCACCTGTGACGATGACGTCGTCCCAGTGACGAAAAGTGACGAAAAAGTGTCGCGTGTCAGTTTTTAATTTGCCGCGGTGAATTCAATGGTGACCTCCGTTTTGACCTCTAAAGGTCACAAAACGGTTAACAAATGTTAAACTGCCAAAAATGTCGAAAAGACGTTAGATATGTATCAATTTAACAGATTTTGAACGCTGAAATTTTTGACGTGTGAGACCTCAGTGACCGTTTTAAAAATTTTGAACGGGCAAAAACAATATGATAATCATTTTAACGTACGAAACACTTCTTTCACCCCTTGGTTACATTCGTTGTAACGGTTTATTCAAGATTAAAAATGTCATACCGTATTTTATTTCAAGCTGGACTTGCACCTGCCGAATCTCACGCAGCTAATTCTATATGCTTGCGACATGAAAATTTTCAAGGACTTGGTCAAGGAAACAAACCTACCAAAATTGGCGCAGTTCTCAATCTCCTTCATCAACCTTACCGCCGTTAACAGGATTTCTAAATTTATGGAAAACCACAATGTGCGGCACGGTGGGGTAAGGTCGGTGGATCTGTGTTGCTCCCCTATTCGGGATGACGTAGCCGACGAAGAAGAACCCGCCTTAACCTTGGTCAGTTGTTTCTCGGGCGTCAATAAATTTAAATTGACGTTTAAGACTTCATTCCTCTCCGATTATGCTCACAAATTTGTGGCCTTGACGGAAATGATGGCATCTTTGGGCGGCTGGGATTTGACATGTGGGGAGATAGACGTCGAGATGGTCCCACATTTCTTTGCATCCGAGTACAAGGGCCCTCGCGATCTCGACTTTGGCTCGGCACTGGTCATTGCCGTATTAGCAGGAATGGCGAATTGGAGAGGTTATCATTTCACGCAATTAATTATTGTAATTATAAACATTGAAGAATACAAATTTATAGGTTTGGCGAAGACGTCACTGAAATTTATTGGTCATCAGATAAACACAACAAATAACAACAACAAATAAATAAAGCCCAACTGAATTTTTCGAGACCACCCAAACTTAAGCTTGAGGACTAGACAAATATTATTCTACGTTGTAAAGACAAGTGAATGTGACCTTGAATACTATTTGCGTCCTAACACAACAAGGAATACACTCTTAAAAATGACCCCACCCGTTTAAACAGCAAATGCACTCTGAATTCTATTTAGTAAATAAAGTTTACTCTGAATTTAATGTAGTTTACATTGATTTGATTTGATTTTGACTTATTTATTGAAACTAATCTTTCCTCGGGCCATGATCCCACGTAAGATATAAGGATTACAATTTTAATCATTAATTTGGTTACGGAGTTCTGGTTTTCCTTATAACTAACTTTTGACATGGGTTGAACATAGGTTAAAACTTATAAAGTTCAGAGTGAATTTACTTTACAAAAGGGTACATTATTTTTTAAAGTGTAAAAATTTCTTGCTAATAATTTAGCAAACCCAACCACCACGCAAAGTAAGGACGTGGACGTGACACGCTTCTTTATTTATATAATTTTGCCACATGCAAAAAAACCTCTACTTGAACATTCGCCGAGGAAAATATGCATTAATATCCCCACCCTTTAAATAAATATGTACATACATAAGTAGGTCTGTCTTCTTTAATCATTCTCATGTCCTCACGACTTCTTCCGTGGTCACTGAATTTCATTTGGCCGGAGTGACATTAAATGCCTAAATATGTATGTACTTCACATCGTCAGGCTGGTCACAACTCATGGACATGACATTGAGATGTTGTGATGAGTGATGTATCATAAGGAATTTCTGCATATCACTATCCACTTTAATTTACCTATTTTCCTGGGTAGAACTGATTATTATTTTTTAATTTCCACTGAACAGTGGGAATTTTTGCGCCACTACCGATAATATGCTTGCAAGTTTTTAATTCCATTTCAATGTTTAATTTAAATGAAAATCCGCAGTGAAATTTTTTAATGAAGTCCGAATTTTCATGAAAATACAACTTTCTAATGAAAATCATGTACATGTAAATAAATCAAACTTTTTTATGATTCTCATGAATCCTGAGAATCCGACTTGGATAAGAGTGAGACGTTGGGGTCCATAAAACCGCGAGCGCCACAGTAGGCTATGGAGCGGCGGTATAGGACAAAGGAAATGAGGGGTAACGAGTCCAGCGCTGATTCCTGTACGAAAAGATAGTTCAGAAAATCTAGATTATTTTAAATATAACAACTTGGTAATTTCGTCTGCCCCATTCCGAGATATTTGAGTTCAAAGCTTTTATAATTTTTCCAAGGCTAGCCAAAAAAGTTTTATTTCAACTTCCACCATATGATATGGGGCATCGTGAACACTTATTTGGCTCGCCTTGGAAAAATTGTAAAAGCTTTGAACTCAAATATCTCGGAATTGGGCACACGAAATTATCAAGTTGTTATATTTAAAATAATCTAGATTCTCTGAACTATCTTTTGGTACAGGAATCGGCGCTGGACTCGTTACCCCCCCTTTCCTTTGTCCTATGCCGCCACTCCATAGCCTACTGTGGACTGGGAGGATATGTAGTTCATGATCAACTTTCTTTCGGAGTCGTGTTATTATGATTCAGTAAGAGTCTTGCACTGTTTGCTTCCAAAATGGAACTAGCAGGAATAAATTGTTATCAAAGTTGACGAGAAGTAGCACCAATCACGCTAAGTCAAAATCTCAAAAATGTGTGTTGATCATGATGCAAAACCCTTTTGGGGACATGGAACAAGAACCTTCATACATTCATGTAAGCGACTTTGAACTGTATAGTTTCATATTCATTTTTGAATTGTTAGTTGAAGAAATCGAAAATACACCATTCCGAGAATTAGTTTCTCGGCTAGCTTCATCGCCATATGATGGGATAGCGGACAAGGACGGCGAGTTGTTTTGGTCAAGCCAGCATTGCCTCGAAATTTATAATCTAAAAATTATGCAATATCGGGACAATGGAGAGCGTACTTTATCCGAATTTGTAGCCCCAAAAAGGTCACACGTGGTGGAAGGCCTTCGATTGGTCCGTCGTTAATAAGTCTTCCCGCCTTAATTGTGAAGGACCTTGTACGAGTTCTAAAGGATAAATCAAAAGAAATTGAAGCACAGCATTATAACAGAGCGAAAAAACTTTTGGTAAGTTTATTACATATTGTTATTTATTTATAATCAAATTATAAAATTCGTCAAATCAAAATACAAAATTTGCAAAATTTATAGATAAAGAATTGCCAGAATACCAGTTTGACCAAGGTTACGACGTGTGCGGACAGGAGATTCAGAATGATACGAAATAAGAAATCTGTGTATGTATATGTACAAATTTGTAAAGATTTCAACGTTCACGATGTACGAAGTGCTGTTGTTTTTTGCAGAATTTGAACATCTTCATTAAAAACCTCATTTTCATCGGCGAGAAGTTATTCCAATTTCGAAGAGGAATATTTTTGAACATCAGCGTAAGCTTGTGAGTAACAGAGTACGATCTAAATAGTATTCGTTCAAGCTTTTCCTACTCCATCTCCAAAAATTTGCCATTCTCAAATTCACAGATAAACCCATGCAAAATGTCAATTGGGGAAGGTGAAAAAGTTGGCAAAACTGGTGGAGAATGTGCAGTTGTAGAATTAGTAGTTATCGAATTGTGTCGTGTCTCGTGAATCGTTGTCCTAATTGTGGAAAGAGGAGGATTCTGTACAGATGAATTGTCTGCGGTCGATTCCAGCTGTAAAAAGTGGTGTGTCAATTGTAACTGGGAGAAAGTGGGGGTGGTTTATTGGTTTAGTAGTGGCCGTCGTAGTGGTCGACTTTGTAGTCGTGGTTGTAGTAGTTGTGGTAGATGGTGAGCTATTAATGGAGAAAGTTCCAAAAATTCTGCGGCGGAAGATGGTTTGCGCGTAGCAGTGTGCAACTGAGGTGCAGTTTCAAGGGGGTTTGCGTTCTGGAGGAGGAAATGGAACAGGAACAGTTCGGGTCGGCGGCGAGAGGATGGGGGAGGCGAAGAAGTGGTGACTAATTTATGAGCTGCTCTGGTTGTTGTTTCGCCATCATCGTTGTCACTTTCATACCCACTTTCACTGATGGGTGACTGGGCTACTTGGTAGTGGCGGAATATATGTAGTTGTATCTTATTCATATCCATCCTCCTCTTCATATTCTATTGTCTGAAGAACTTCGGGAGGTTCACAAAACTTCCAGCGAGGTCCAACAGAGGTTTTTAAACTTTTGTCGTAGTAATTTAAAAAGTACACAAATTTTTCGTTTAATTTAGTTACGGTGAGTGTGGGACCAGAAGATGTGCACGACTAAAAATGAAAATTCCAGGAAAAGTGTCTACACGTACAGGAGCACTTGTGCTCTGATTTAATTTGAAGTCTTTAGTAAATAATTAAGGTTTTTTCGTGTATTTGACTGTTTTTTTAATTAAGAGGCCGGAAAGGTTTGTTAGACAAGCTCTTCTTAGACCTGGTCTCCATTGAACAAACAACAACTTTGGACGTTAAGAGAAAAGTGACGCCGAGTCTCGCCGTCCATGCATTTTATACCGGCGGTTAGAAGTCAAGGACTTAACCCTTTCTCTGGTATTGAAGTAGGTAGCCAGTGGGGAGGAAGGACGCCAAATCACTCCATACATTTACCAACGGGCAAGATTGATTCGAAAGATTGACCACCTCACCCCTGCTCGCTTGAGCCAGGTGCTCAGCAGGCTCAGTGCGTTTTGTAAGGTTTTGTTTGTTATGTGCACTGATGAGAACTAGGGTGCATGTTAATTACACAAGGATAGAATAACTGCATCTCATTTTGATTTAAATCAAAGCCAGTCAATTTTACTTTTAATTCTAGTCCTGACATGGCCCTCAACTTTTTGTCAATGCAACCCACAAGCTCTGTATCTAAACATAATTGCTTTGATTTAAACCACTACTTTGCTGGAGCACACCTGCAAACTGAATTTTATTGAGTGCATGCACCACCTGCATAAACCTATATTTTTAAATCGACACGTTAATTCGCAGATAACGATAAGCAGATCAAATTTATATATTTTAAACCGACACGGTTCAGATCGTATCGTCATTCCGACAACGAGCACACCACCCGTTTCCCCGTCTCCGACCATGCCACACCCCAGTCGCTAAACGACAACGTCTGACCCCGTGGCGTGGCCAATTCAAAATGTCCACGGTCATTATAGCACTGCTTGTATGAGTTTTTAAATATTTTGCACAGATGGACGACGAGACGAAAGGCAATTTTCAGGCATTTATTCGAGAGCATAATTTTCTAATTAGTGTCACAAATTAGGCAGCTCATTTAGTTTAATTGTAAAAATATGTATAGTCATTTGTTAAATATTATTACTTTTTCATGTTAATTTTTAAGAGAGATTTTACAATTTCGGGGGAAAATTATGCAGTAACGGAAAATAAAATACTATGCAAATACATATGTGTACTTCGTATGGGACATCGTATAGGAACATCGTATAGATTTCAGAGTAATTTACATTTCAAAAGGGTATAACATTACTTTTTAAAGTGTAAAAATTTCTTAATAATTTAGCAAACCCAACCACCACGTAAAGTTATAAGACGCCACACGACAAGAGATATACCTTCCCTTAGGAGGGGAGCTTGCGAGGTTGATAATAACAGATCTTGGTGCCCTTTGGATATGTGGTAGGGACCCATGAGTGTACTAAAACCCTGAAGTAGTTTGACTCCATGGCCTCTCCTTAGACTGCTCATTTCGTGAGGATGTTTTTTGGAATAGGGAAACAACTTTTGAACACTCATCCATGCCCACTCTCGTTCTGTTTTTCTCTCCTCTTGTTTACTCAAGTCGAATAATTATACTATTGAATTAATTATAAACTATAAAAAATGTTCCAAATAATTAATAAACTTCAACCTTCCTTCTCTAATTTATTATTTTGAACGGGTTCTTATTCTCTTCAGTAGTGATTTGGAAGTGAATTTTGTAAATTATTTTTGGTAAAATTGCATTATCACGGCCTAGCTCGGATTTATTTCAGTGGACTACTCTGATTTCCTCCGGAGGGCTAGTGGATTTGGCTGATATTTTTTGTGTAAATACCTATTGGGTTACTCCATGAGTTATGGTAATGGACCTGATGTCAAAAATCGATTTTTTTGAAATCCTTCAAGCATGTGTTAGAGGACCTTAAAATATGCAGAAAAATCATTTTCCCCGAATTTTTGAGGTTTCAATGTGGCTGCTAGGAGGGGGTGTGGCTTCCGTTGAGGTACCACCTTTTCGCAGCCGCTATTGCACGCAGGGACTCCAAATTTCACATCAAGCTACCATGGGCCAATACAATTGCGGGTCTTTTTCTCTTTTTTGGAAATTAGGTCACGGTGACCGTTTTTAGGTCAAGATTCACAACACGTCAAATTTCTCTGAAAAGCCAAAGTCTCAAATCACCCCATAACTAGGGTATCGTTGGAAAGGTCTCGGCAAGAGGATTAAGAATATATATACTTTGTAGGGTGTACGACCAGTCCCCAGTCTTCCTGAGGCTGAGAAATATTTTTAAGTTTGTCCCATCTGTTTCTATGTTAGCTCGCCAATCTGCTACTGTGTTAAAATCTGGAAGCAATGAAAATTCTCATTCTACTGCTTCTGGAAGGTCAGGGGGCAGCTGTATGCCGGACAAAGTATATATATTCTGAATCCTCTTGCCTAGACCTATCTAACGATGCCCAATTTATGGGGTTATGTGAGATGATTTACGAAAAAATTCGACATAACGCACATTTTGACCTAAAAACGGTTACCATGACCAAATTTCCAAAAAAGAGAAAAAGACCCGCAAGTGGCCAATGGTAACTTGGTGTGAAATTTGGAGTCCGTGCGTGCAATAGCGGCTGCGAAAAGGTGGTATCTCAACGGAAGCCACACCCCCTCCTAGCAGCCACATCGAAACCTCAAAAATTCGGGGAAAATGATTTTTCTGCATAGTTTAAGGTCCTCTATCACATACTTGAAGGATTTCAAAAAAATCGATTTCCACATCAGGTCCATTACCATAACTGGTGGAGTAACCCTATTGTGGTCCCCTAAGCAAGAAAATACTTTTTGCGGTGGTCTCGAAAATGAAAATTTCTAGAAAGCTTCGAAATTTTGTACAAAAATTATTTTTTGCCTCAGATTTTCATGAAAATGATTTTATAGACTAATTAAACTATGCTGAACAAGAATATGAAGGATTTTTTTTAAAAACATTCAATAGTAAAAAGGTTATAAATTATTGAAATTTTGTATAGAAATTTTTCTTGGATGTTCCAGAGAATTTCAAAACTTTGTCTCAGTTTCCCCCACAATGGGAATATTTTGTGGTAAAATCAGATTTTCGGGGTAAGATGAGATTTCTAGTTTCCAGCTCTCCTAGGTAGCACTACTAGCTAGCTCTCCTAGGTAGCACTACTAGCTAGCTCTCCTAGGTAGCACTACTTGCTAGCTCTCCTAGGCAGCACTACTAGCTAGCTCTCCTAGGTAGCACTACTAGCTAGCTCTCCTAGGCAGCACTACTAGCTAGCTCTCCTAGGTAGCACTACTAGCTAGCTCTCATTTTTCAAAAGCCATTTTCATGAAAATCTAGAGAAAAATAATTTTTATAAAAAATTTCAAAAATTTCTAGAAATTTTGTTTTTTTAAACCGCCGCGAAAATAGATATTTTTATGCATATGGGACCTTAGGGTATTCACACAAAAAATTTCAGTCAAATCCGAGATAGGCCGCTATACTGCAATTTTACCATAATTTCTATACCAAATTTCAAAAATTGACAACTTTTTTATTTTTCGAGACCGCCGTGAAAAAATTGAAAACTTATTTCCGCTATTTTGATTAAATTATAACCCATAAAATGAATGATTTTCGTTCAGATCATTTGTTGTATTGTAATATGATGCACACTTTTCTGTGTGGACGCTCTGGTGTTAAGTGTTGGAAAGGGCGGTGCACCGCCTCTAGTTTTGGCAAATCGGGCTATCTATCTAACAAAGCTACATTTCTTATCGTGTGATAAGACGCGAGACACGCTTATTTATGTAATTTTGTGACATGCAAACAAACGTCCACTTGAGCATTCGCCGAGGAAAACATTAAATCCATTAATATCCCCACCCTTTAAATAAATATGTACATAAGTAGGTCTGTCCTTTTAAATCTAATTTTCATGTCCTCGTGACTTTTTCCGTGGTCACTGAATTTCATCAGGCCGGAGTGCCATTAAATGCCTACGCCCTACATACATACATACTTCACATCGCCAGTCTGGTCACACACTTTGGACACGACATCGAGATGTTGTGATGAGTGATGCATCACACGGAATTTTTGCATATCTTCCACTTTAAATTACGTACATACTCTCCATTCGCATACAGTTGAACTTTTACAGAAATTGAGAAATCTGAGAAACTACGGCACTGTCACTCCCATATTCCCTCAAATAGTGATGATGGGGTAATTTGCGACTGACAGTGGCGTAGTTTCTCAGATTTCTCAATTTCTGCAAAAGTTCAACTGTGTGCGAATGGAGAGTACATATGTATTTTTTCTTGCCACATTTTAAAAACGGATGCGTATTTACATTTTGTTTTAAATTATTGCACATGATTGTCCATATAAATATGTATCTACATATGTAAATATGTAAGTAAATTAAGGATTTATAATTCAACTTGAGTTTTTTTTACCTTGTAAATGCAATGTACACCAATCCCTTCTATCACAGTTTCCATGCAAGATTGCATAAACTGAGTTATGTAATTTCTTCCTGACCACTTTGCAAGCTTTCAGCAATTTTTTAGCAAATTAAGAAAATTTTTTTGCATGCAACTTTGTATTGGTAAAAAAACTCAAATGGAACCAATGAAAAATGAAAATACGACTTGTGTAATGTGCGTAAATCAAAATTTTGCATGAGAATCTTGGACAAAAGTGAGACGTAGAAGAAAAACCGCGAGCGTTTCGAACACATGGTATTTATTTTGTTTACTCAATCAGCAAGTGGAAATTAACACTTTGTCAACTTTTTCCCCGTTTCGTTAATAAATATTTCCAGGTTTGAAGTTTTGAATTAAATACACTGATTATCATTACAAAGAGGACACACAGTATCTGTGTATTTTATTAAAAAGGTGAGAAAACTGTAATTGTACGTGATATGTAAATTGTTGTATTGTATTGTATTGTAAACCTTTATTCAACTGTCAACAAATATCAGCTAATATAAGCTGGTTTCCAATTCATGACAGAAATGCTATAATTTAAAAGCACTAATCTAATCATCTATAAATTAATAATAAATGTAACAATTCTTGTTTCTTGACAAAAGCAATTCTTTACAATGCTGTACGAATTTAGGAAAAGTTAAATTACTTTCCCAATTACGTGGAAGAGAGTTCCATAATTTTATGGCACAAAAATTAATTGAATTTTTTGCTATAGAAGTGCGAACACTTGGCACTTTAAGGAGTGGGAAACTACGCTGTGACCTCGAAGAACTCTCACTTTCTCTCAGATATTTAAAAGCATATTTAAGTAAATATAAATCTCTACGTTCTAAAATTGGGAGAATACCACACTTTTCTCTTAGTTGGACTGCATCTATCTTATTTCTTAACTCTTTATATCTACTTGCCTTCCGCGCACGTTGTTTTTTGGCAATTATTGGAAGGTAGAAGTTTACAAGATATTGATCTATTTTACGTTGTAATCTACCAAGTTGCGAGTCTGAGAGAGTGGCCCATATAGTTATACCATAATCGATTATTGAATGTACATAACAATTAAGTAATAAAATCATAACCTTATCTGTTAAATAACGTTTTATACCATACAAAAAACCAATACTATTAGAAACCTTTTTTTGGACTTGTTCAAAGTGATCCTTGAAACTTAGCGTGGAATCAAGCTCAATACCTAAATACTTAAATGTAGAAACTTGCTCAATTGCATAACCATTTTCAAGTAACAGAGGTACATGTACATACTCTTCTGGGATTTTATCATTAGCTTTGTGGAATATTTGATATTTGGTTTTTGTATAATTAATGACCATATTATTTTTTTCATACCATTCTTGTATTAATTTTATCTGGGCTTTCAAAATACAAAGTTTTAACATAAATAGGGTGTAACTTATACTGATCCATTAGTTTTTTAATTAATAACGATCGATCTATACTATTGAACGCTGACTTTGCGTCAAAATATACAACTACACATTTGCCTTTCGTCTGGTCCAAGGCTTTATAAATATAATTGGATAATTCCACTATTGCAGTGTGACAAGACCGATTATTCCTAAAACCATGCTGTTCATTACATAATTTTGCATCTATTCTAGTTTGTAATCTATGGTATAATACCCGTTCAAATATTTTGCAGTAAACAATAATACCACTAATCGGTCTATAATTTGTCGGATTAAATCTTGATCCTTTTCCCTTAAACAATGGGGTTACATTTGTGATCTTAAAAGGCTGCGGAACTACACAATTAACTAATATTAGATTAAACAAAAATTGCAAGTTGAAAAGCCACAATATCAACACAACGTTTTAAAATAACAAGTGGTACATAAAATAGTGACGAACAATCTTTTTTTACATCATTAATCGCTGTGTTGACTTCTTCCACTGTGACTAATTGAAAATCTTCTGCTGTGTCAAGAGATGAGTACTCTATTTCGTATTTTGAAATACTATCTGCTAATGAATCAATTGGTATTACATTATCAGTATTAATTACAAATTGAGAAGCTAATGTATCATTAATTGTGAGTTCTGTGTCATATATTTCATTTGTTACTGTATTATTTAGTCTTGTGATCGGAGTTCTATTACATTTGCGATAGCCTGTCAGAAGTTTTACATTTTGCCACAAATTACTCGTATTACTGATGGACTCTACAAAGGATTTCTTAAAATAGTATTTTTTCGCGTTTGATAAACAGGTGTTGTATTTGTTTCCAGCTTTAGTATAATTTACATTATCCGAGGGAAATTGCGTCTTATCTGCACGCACTCTTAACTTATCCCTGTTCTTACGTAATAAGGCTAAATTAGAGGTATACCATTTGTTTAACTTCGGTCTAATCTGCCTTCTCTTAAGTGGAGCGTGTATGTCCAGTAACGACATAAAGAAGCTGTTATATCTATAAAATTCATGATCAGGATCTGAATCCGGATTAAATGTGAATTTTGAGAGTTTTTCATTGAAAATCTTGAAATCGCAGGTTCTATAACATCTATATTCTATAATTTTTGGCTGGAATTTGAGTGAATTACATTTCCTTACTATAAATGTCAAGTCATGGTCAGAGCTGGTTAAGGGAAAGTGACCAGTTAAACTAACATTAATTTTATTACTGGAATAAATGTGATCCAGCAAAGTTTTCCCATTGCGAGTGGGACCTACCATATGTTGACTCAAACGAAATTCTCTACAAACATTAAAAAGTGGAGAAGACTCTTTGTGTTTTAATAAGTCAACATTAAAATCTCCTAAAGTATAATATTCAGTGTCAAAGGATAAAAGAAAAGTATTAAGTTCATGAAAGAAATCAACTAACTTATTAATTGGAGTGGAAGGGTGGCTATATAGGATTGTAACTAAAATTGGCTTTGAACTTTTCAACCCAATTTTGATTACTTGAAATTCTGAGTTACGATAAGGTTGGATTGGACAGTCTATCTGTTCGAACACTAGACTTGACTTGATGTAGATAATAATACCTCCACCTTCATTATAAGTACGATCTGACCTTACAAAATTATAACCATCGATAACATACATACCGTCCTTATTCCTACTAGGTTTCAGTTTTGATTCTGTGACTCCGTACAAATCTGGGTTACAATGTGACATAAAACTAACCACATCATCAAATTTGTTATTCAAACTATTTAGATTCTGATGGCAAAATTTTAGACCTTTAGCTTTACTTAATTTGGCAAGTTGAGGACGATCCGGAAGTTGAAGTTGAAGATGATCCGGACGATGGTGCGACGAATGTAAAAGTCTTGAGTCGTCGTCGTCTTGTAGTGATAATGTGTCTTCATTTTGTGTCGAAAGACCAGTAAATGGAAGTTGTTGAAGAGCAAGATTCCCTGAGAAGTGAATGGAATTGTCAGGTGCTCCACTATCAGTGATGAGTCGTTTTTGTCGCCGTGTCTGCACAGGCATTATTCCATTAATAAAGAATAATACAATGATGAAAATTGGAAAAATAGACCTCGTAAAATCTCGAATGCTCGAGATTTGGCCCTCAAAGAGGCAAGACTTTTTTATCCAATGGAAGAGACTGGGATTGGGAAGAAACTAGAAAGTCGTCATGACCAGGACAGGTCCGTTCCAGTGAGTCGTTTGAAATCTGTCTTAATCCAAAAATCCCCCGAGCACCGTGTGTAGTAGTAAACATTCAGTAGAATTAAAAAAGTACGTAGTGTGTTTGAAATGTACTGAGTTTGAAATGTACTGTGTTAAATTTGTAATGTGTTACAAGGCACAATTATGTAAGATTTCGTCACTGTCTCTTATCTAACCGTGAGATGAGAGATGGACACTAATTTACAATAAGATGATAAGAGGGGCGTATAGTGTCAACTTGTGACCAAAGTTTATAAAATTGGGTCACTAATTATTGTTAAAATATTAAATTTCTAAAAATTACAAAATGGCGGAGCAAGAACAACATGCTCTCAGGGCCGTAGCCCACTCCCATGGTTCCCATGTAAAGCAACCTGACTTCGTTGTTTTTATTAAATTAACTTTTTTTGGAAAATTTGCTAGCAAGGTTTTGAAAGACAGATGTAAAGTTAACTTGTTATTGAATTTAAATAACGTAAGCAATAATAAATAACTAATATTTCCCCCCATTTTTACACTCTTTTTCCAGGTAAAACCTTCTAAGTTTTTGTCTCGGGGGCAGCGAATTCTAAAGTACTTAAGGCTCTTCGTAAAGGTTCGGATTATAGAAATTTTTGTGATAAACTGTATTTATTAAAGATTCCGTCTGTATACTAAATTTCTGATACAAATCTCTTCACTAATTTAGTTTTAACATGAACTACAGTCCGGAGCAACGTTTCAGCCCCGAATATTTGGCCTTCCTCGACCGCCGCTTGAAGAAACCCGTCGTTCCGAATCAGCCGTCGAAACGTAAACGAAACCCGTTATCGAAACGCCAAGCAAATCCGTCGTCAAAAGTTCCACCAAACCCCACCATGAACTTTCAAATCTTTAGCAATTTACGGGAAGATTTTCGAACCGCCTTCGCCTCCCGTGTCCTCCGCCCGGCCTATATCGCCCCCCGCATCGACTCGATGATCACCGCTGCGGCAGATGCTATTTTGGAGGATGCGCATAAACAAAACCTTAACTCGATCTTAACCGATCTCTGTAAAGGTGGCGGAAAATCAACGCCGTTCAGTCCGGCGGAAGCGCTGGTTTGGCTTTGGGTCTATGTCGGCACCGTGGAGGAAGTGACGAGGCGAAGTGGACCAATTACTTGCCACGGGGAGGTCCATGGCCAATTAGTGTATTTATTTAAACAAGCCGTCGCCGTAGATAAGGAAAAGGTACGGTGCATAAATTTACATAATCTCACCTTTCAAATTTACATAATTACGACATATTTATGACACTCACACATATTTTTGTTTCCTCCTAAGGAACATGCAGCACGTCGCCTACTTGTGGAAAAAGGTTCGAGAATGTAAGCCCCCCCCGAAAAAGTTTCGTTCACATGGGAAAACTTTTAAGAAGGCTTATGATGGCTTGAATTTGGACATGGTGCCGACTCCGGAGACAAGAATGGAACAGCTTTTTGGAAATATGTCGTCGTTTTATGGGGATGCCCCATTCGTGGACGAAGTGGAGGAGGATTGGGAGGTAGACACAGCACCCCCTGCCAAGAAAATAGAAATGAATGATGGTGATCCTCACAAAATTAGTGAGAAATCGGGCAGATATGTTATTCCCAAAGTGATTATGAAACCCTCTTCATCCACTTTTGGTTCAGCCCATGCTCAACAAAAAGTAACAGTTGTCCCTGTCAAGGCACCTTATCGAGAGAGGGATGATGACCAATCAATCAAGCCGAGAAGTAAAGTAACAGTTGCCCCTGTCAACGCACCTTATCGAGATGGGACTAAAGACAAATCAAACAAGCCGAGAAACTATGAAGCGGCGTCGACATCGAAACCGCGTCCAAGATCAGATTTTGTCCACAAACCATTGAAAAATCCCGTGGCTAAGCCTCCCTTGAAAACTAGGGATGAGGATATGTCGAAATCTCGCCCATCCATCCAGGAAATTAGGCAACCGTCGAAAAAGAAAAAGAATCCCCCGGAAACAATGGGTACAGATTTTCTTCTCTTCCTCACAAATCCAAGTGAGTACATCAGACTGAATCCGTCCTTATTTCCTTCGAGTGATGCCACCTGGTCTGCTAAAAAATTACTTCCGGATCAACCGACAAAGCGGAAGAAACCAAATCCCGTGAATGATCCCGTTCCGGAACCGGAAGTCACTCAAACTCTGGCCGACTGTACGGAAACGCTGTTGAGGGTGGATTTTACACCGGAGGAGTACGTCGACCTGACCACGGCGCCCAATTATTATGCTCAAGGGGTCAAAATTGTCGACGGGGTGAGAAGGGTCGTCTTCTATCATAAAATGATTGATCTCTCAGCCATTAAGAAAGAACCAGTTTAAATTAATGTTATGAGTTATGAGGGTAGATCAATGTGATGTTCAATTTATCACTTACAGTAATTATTTATCAATGTAATTACGAGTCACGATTTAATAATAAATATGTACTTGGTAAATGTTTATTAATGATTATAAAATATGTATTTAAAGTTGAGAAGTCTTATTTAATACTTACATATAAATACTTATAAATATAAATATTAATTAGTTCATTATTATGTACATTATACACAGTGCCTACGTATAACGATGTGTTTAAAATACTTGAATATTTTTTTCTACAAATGTATTTTGCCTCCTACATAAGTACGTAATTAAATAATACAACGACTCATAACTAAATTGTAGTGATATAATGGGGGTTTAAATTATTTTCGAAGCTTTATTTGTACATGATTTTTAAATTTTTATACCGATTTCGCATTTTGGGCCTATTTCTTCTGAGGATGAGAGACGGATTTTCATACTTTTTATTTCGCATCATTCTGCATACTTAATATTTTCGAGCATATTGCTTCATAACTAAGCAATTTGCAGATAATGTTCTATCATAATGTTATAATTGCATGCAATAAAATTTTGATCAGGTTAAGACTTATAAGACCATTAATTACGGACGACCATATATTACGTCTTGAAAAAGGTGGGTGAGTAGTTATCGGTCGCTTATCTTACTTGTGTTAAGCTTGACATGACTAGGAGAGGGAAGTGGTGGGTGGCTCGTTGGTCTAAAAATTTCATTTTTCTGATGACGTAATATATGGACGTTCCCTTCTGACCGAAAGCAGTCTCAAGATCACTCAGAAAGACCGCGAGTGCTATTTTATTTCGTCAATCAGCAGGTGGAATTTCATATTTCGTCAATTTTTTCGCCTCTGTTTCGTTAATAAATATTTCAAGTTTGAAGTTTTGAATTAAATACACTGATTAATAAGCAGTGATTATCATTACAAAGTAGATAAGACGAGTACAAAGGTGAGAAAATTTTTTTACCATGCTTTGTTCATTGTTTTAAATAAAATTAACCTATTATGTTTCTGGTTTAATTTTCTTATCGTTACATTACAGCCGCGTCTTCAATATTCTCGAATTTCAACTCACTAACAAGATTTCCAATCTAGTCACGTGGAATATTTTTTTAAGTTCAGAAGTCTTTATTGAAACCAGTAAGTTTAAATTAAAAATATATCCTTCACATAAATTGATAAGTTAGCAGAACATTTTCCGGTAAATTTGCTTGCAAGGTTTTGAAATATAAAGTTATTAAGTGTAATCAATAACTAATACATATATTGCCCCCATTTTTACATTTTTTTTCAGGTAAAAACCTTTAAAGTTTTGACTCGGGGGGAACGAATTCTAAAATACTTGCGGTTCTTTGCATCAAATAAAGGTTTAGATTATGGAAATTCATAAAATAAAACTTCTTCCTTAAACGTTTCAATTTTATGCTAAATTTTTAATAAGAATTTCTTCACTAATTTAGTTTTAAAGATGAACAACAGGCAACTCTTGAGCCCCACACTTTTGGCCTTTCTGAAGGGCTTGAACAAACCCGTGGCTCCAAAACAGTCGTCGACATCGGGTCAACAAAATCAGTCGTCGAAAGGTCAACCAAAACAGAACAACTTTCAAACTTTTATTCTCGTGCGACAAAATTTTCGAAACGCCTTTGCATCCGGTGTTCTCCGACCGGACGATTTCGCCCATCGAATTCAAGCCATGGTCACTGCTGCGACAATTGCTATCTTGGAGGATGCGAAAAAACGAAATATTAACGCGATTTTGGGCGAACTTTGTAAAGACGGTAAACTAAAGCCGTTCAGTGTGGCGGAAGCGCTGGCTTTCCTTTGGGTCTACGTCGGCACGGTGGAGGAGGTGACGAGGCGAAGTGGACCAATTTTTTGCCGCGGAGTGCTCAGCTATCAATTAGAGTATTTGTTTAGACAAGCAGTCGCCGTAGATAAGGGAAAGGTATGTAGGGTGTATAAATTTACATAATTCCACCTTTGTAATAATTTACATAATCTCAATTTTCAAATTTACACAATCCAACCTTTAAAATTTACATCAAAAGTGTAAATAATCCCACCTCCCACCTGTCAAATTTACATAATAAATTTACATAATCCGGGATTATTAATCGCACCTTTCAAATTAACAATGTATTTACGAAATTACAACAACTTTATAACGCTCACAAATATTTGTATTTCTTAAAGAACATGCAGCACGTCGCCTACTTGTGGAAGAAGGTTCGAAAATGCAACCCCCCCTCGGAGGAGTTTCCTTCACATGGGAACACTTTTAAGAACGCTTATGGTGGCGTGGATTTGGACGTGGTGTGGACACCGGAGAAAGGAATGGAACAGTTTTTTGGAGAGATATTGTCAGTTAACGGGGTCTGGAGAAATCCGTCCTCGAACAACGAGCAACAATCGGGCAAAGATGCTACTCCAAAAACGATTATGAAACCAACCTTAGCGAGGAAGGACGATAAATCAGTCAACCTAGAAAGATCATCGACATCGAAACCGCGTCCAAGATCAGATTTTGTCCAGCAAAATATACAAGAATTAACCAGCAATAATCCTGCTGCTGCTAATCTCCCCCTGATAACTACGGATAGCGATGCTCTACTCTTCCTCACAAATCCGGCTGAGTACATCGGACTAAACCCGTCCTTGTTTCCATCCAGTAAAGATGTCACTTGGTCTGCCAGAAAATTACTTCCGGAACCACCGACAAAACGGAACAAACCAAACCCTGTGAATGATCCCGTTCCGGAACCGGAAGTCGCTCAAACTCCGGCCGACTGTACGGAAACTTTGCTGAGGGTGGATTTTACGCCGGAGGAGTACGTCGATCAGACCACGGCGCCCAATTATTATGCTCAAGGGGTCAAAATTGTCGATGGGGTGAGAAGGGTCGTCTTCTATCATAAGATGATAAATTCCTCGTACATTAAGAAAGAACCGATTTAAATTAATGAGTCTGCAATGATAATGGTCAATTTACATACACATCAGTTAAAACAAGTGTGAATTTATACTTATAGATTAACAAAAGTATGAATACTTTTATGAATTATTATGACCTCCTGGAAATATTTATTCATCTTTGTTATAATTGAAATAAACTACATAAAATAGCAAAGTATATTAAAGTTGGTATATTCATTTTCATGCATATTAATTACCCAGCTCTGTGAATATGAAGCAAATCGGAGCGTATAAAATGAAAAGAATAAAAACTGCATGTAAACGTAAATCGAAGTTTGTCTTATACATCCATGAGTTTGTCTCAGGAAGAAAAACCGCGAGAGTCACCTGTAATCAGCAATCAACAGGTGGAATTTCGTCAATTTTTTCGTCTCTGTTTCGTTAATAAATATTTCCAAGTTTAAAGTTTTGAACTAAATAAGGTGATTATCGTTATAAAGTAGTCACGCATTATCTGTTTAGTCAAAAAGGTGAGAAAAACGTAATTTTGTACGGATGAATAATGTAACCTGACTTCGTTTTTTTAATTATATTAACTAATAAAATTTTTAATTTGATATTTCTGGTTAATTAATTAATTTTGTCAGATCATTACATTCCAGGCCCTTTTAATATTCGAGTAATTTAAACCAGCGGAACGTTTGCAAATCTAGTCGTTTGGAAGATTTTTCAGCTCTAGAAAGCAGTAAGTCTGAAAGTATAAAAATTTTCCTTCATATCATTTACATTAATTCATAAGCCGTTTCTGGACAATTTACTAACAAGATTTTGAAATCAATTGTCTACTCGTTATTAAATAATTTGAAATATGCTAAATAATCTCATGAATAATATTTTCCCAATTTTTGTTCCAGGTCGAATTCTAAAATACTTAAGGCCAGACGACTCGTCAAATAAAATTAAGGTTTCGCTTATAGACATTCTCCTGATAACATTTATTATTTACGAAATATTCCAATTTTATGCTAAATTAATAGAAATTTCTTCACTAATTTAGTTGTTAAGATGAACTACAGTCAGCAGCAACGTTTCAGCCCAGCATATTTGGCCTTCGTCCAAGGTTTGAAGAAACCGGTCACTCCGAAACAATCGTGTCCTAGTCAACCAAAACAGGCGTCGACGGGTCAAAATCAGCCATCGAAGCAAAAACCAAAGCGAAACAACTTTCAATCCTTTATCGACTTGCGAAAAAATTTTCGAAACGCCTTCGCCTCCGGTGTTCTCAAACCTGGCCATTTTGCCCCCCGAATTCACGCCATGGTCACCGCGGCGACAAATGCTATCTTAGAAGACGCGAAAAAACGAAATATTAACGCGATTTTAAGTGAACTTTGCAAAGACGGTAGATTAAAACCGTTCAGTACCGCGGAAGCGCTGGCTTTCATTTGGGTCTATGTCGGCATGATGGAGGCGGTGACGGCGAGAAATGGACCAACCCCTTGCACCGGGGGGCTCAACGGCCAATTAGTGTTTTTGTTTAAACAAGCAGTCTCCCTCGATAAGAAGAAGGTATGTACATAAATATGTATGTGGAGTGCGTAAATTATTATGGTGGGTGGGTATTCACGCCAACTTCATAAACCTCGCTTCGAAAAACTATTCACAATTTTGCAACGTTTGTGAAAAGCTGTGATGCGACGATCAATCAGAATCCATAATTTTTTCGAAATATGCGATCGACGTAATTAATTACGTCGATCGCATATTTTTAGCAAACTCGCCAAGCGGTGGTTGCATTTCTTCTCTAATTTTCAGTTTTTGTATGTACCTATGTATTTTGATTAAAACAACGACACCGATTTCGAAATCACGGCAAAGTTGCTAACCAAATGACGTGAATATCCTCATTATTGATTTATTCTAATTAATCGCACTTGTCATTGATGAGTTGTCAAATTATAAAATCATGTCTCAACTTTGCAATTTTTCTTTTTTGAAGAACATGCTACACGTCGCCCTTTTGTGGAAGAAGGTGCAAAAATGTCACCCACCACCGTCGTCTGAGTTCCATTCATATGCGCAAATTTTTAAGAACGCTTATGGTCGCGAGGATTTGGACATGGTGCCCACTCCGGAGACAAGAATGGAAAAGCTTTTTTTGGAAATATCCGACAAATCGGGGAATCCGTTCTCCTTCTTGCACGAGGAAGATGAAGGTTGGGAAGTCGACACACCCCCTGTCAAGGAAATACCAGTTGCATCCGTGAAAACAGAGATAAAGGACAAACCAAATCGTCCTCCAGTCCAGCAAGAAATTGACACTTCTTTCCTCAAGAAACCGCACCAATTCCGAAGTGATCTTCAAAAAATTAGTCAAAAGTTAGTCCAAGATCTTACTCCAAAAGCGATTATGAAACCATCCTCATCGACCTTTAGTTCTGTCCATGCTCAACAAAAAGTTGCCCCCGTCAAGGTAAAATCTTATCGAGAAAGGGATGATGGCAAATCAATCAAGCAGGGGAACGTTGAGACGGCGTCGGCATCAAAATCAGGTCCATCAGTCCAGGAAGTTAGAAAACCTTCGAAAAAGAAAAAGAATCTCGCCCCGGAAACTATGGATAACGATTTTCTTCTCTTCCTCACAAATCCGAGGGAGTACATCAGATTGAATCCGTCCTTGTTTCCATCAAGTGATGCCACTTGGTCTGCCAGGAAGTTACTTCCGGATCAACCCCCAAAACGGAAGAAACCAAATCCGGTGAATGATCCCGTCCCGGAACCGGAAGTCACTCAAACTCCTGCCGACTGTACGGAAACGTTGCTCAGCGTGGATTTTACGCCGGATGAGTACGTCGATCAGACCACGGCGTCCAATTATTATGCTCAAGGGGTCAAAATTGTCGACGGGGTGAAAAGGGTCGTCTTCTATCATAAGATGATAAATCCCTCGGCCATTAAGAAAGAACCAGTTTAAATTAATCTTGACTTATCTATGAACTATGTATGTAAATGTGGTTTTCAACTTATCGCTGTAACGATTAAATGTGATTGGCAGTGACAATTTGTCACTGATGTAAATGTGATGTGGTGTGATTGTCAATTTTTCACTTATTACGAATTTATATCGAACGTTATTAAGTTATTAATTACGATACATGATTTAGTAATAAATATTAAGGAAACGTATGTAAAGGAATATTTACGTAGGTGATTAATAAAGTAATCGATAGGGTGAGAAGGGTCATATTCTATCATAGATGACAGAATAGGTATATGAAGAAAGAACACATTTAAATTAATGTTGCTCAACATTAATTTAAATGTGTACCTTGATAACTCAAGTTATCAAGGTAAATGTGGTGGTCAATTTATCGCTTAAAGTAATTATCTATTTAATTACGATTCATAATAAATATGATTTGGATCATTATTATGTATTTATAATGACGTATTGAAAATATTTATCTGTATATTTTGTTACAAATATATTTTGACTCAAGCTATAATAATAAAGTGACTGATAAATTATTAGTGATATTTTTGTGCATATTTTGCTTTGTTCAAACCCAATTTTGCAGATAATGCTGTACCGTAAAGTTTTAATTGAGTAAAATTTTGCATTATGTTGAAAACTACAAATTTGACGAAAATGCTTAGTTTTTTCTTACATATTTCGTAAATAGTAAACACCTACATGGTAATTTATAATTCTACTATATTTCCATAATTATAGGGAAATTACATTAATTACTGAAGGTTATTTACACAAATTCACAACTTTCGTCTCATAATCTCAAATACCCCAAAAATTCATGTCTCACCTTCACAAAAGTCTCACAATCTTTCCCTGCCTACCCCGAAACAAGATTCGTCCGGTCGATTCACGTCAAGACACGAACTCACTTTTTACACAAAAATACGTTTCATTCATTTTAACAAATTCACTCACTACGCAGCATGTGTGATTTGCAGTCAGTTTTTACTCTGATGAGGAACGTAATATTTTTGCACAAAATTTCGCAAATTTACAAATTGCAAATTCTCTAATTGACTCCACCCCCAAGATGAGCATCCCTTCCGACGCGGGGGCGAGATTGCTCGATTTTTCGACACGTTTCGACATTGATTTGTTAGACCGGGTCGTATCCGTCGTGTACAAGGAGACGGGGGAACAGGTGAGTCAATTAATTTAATCAGTCGTTAATTAGTTAAATAACACTTTAATTAATTAATTGTATTTTGTGTTTTATTCTAGCAAAAACTAGCCCAAGAAATATTATCAATGTTAACAAATCACGCCGAATCCTGGACTCGCGTCGACGCTATTTTAGAATTTTCAAATCACAAGGAGACAAAGTATTTTGGACTGCAGATCCTGGAGCAGGTTATCAAAAAGAGGTGGAAGGCGCTCCCGAGGGCGCAGTGCGACGGAATTAAGAAGTTTATCGTCGCCCTCATCATCAAGACGAGTTCGGCGCCGGGCGCGCTGCAAGGCGATGAGAAGGTGTATATTAACAAGCTAAATGTGATATTAGTTCAGGTAAGGAAGCAATTAATTACTTAATTAGGCTAATATTTGGTTAGTTGGGAAAATTACGGAGGAATAATTTATGCAGTTTGTCATTTTGTCTCCAAAATTGCACTAAATTTCGCTAAATAATTAATTTCTTGCCAATTTGTCTATTAATTACTTGCATAATTTAACAATCAAAATCCTGGAAGCAAAGTTTTATTCACAAATTTGTAAACTGATTAATAATTATACACGTAATTAATTCCTGATTAATTTAAATTAACGCTGATTTTGACAAATGTCCAAATCAGTCTGAATTCTGGAGGCAGTGTTTCAATTTTACTAATAAGTTAATTAATTGCTGATTAACTTTGTCCAGATACTGAAGCGTGAATGGCCCAAGAACTGGTCTACCTTCATTCCCGATATTGTCGGTGCCTCGAAAACCAACGAATCTATGTGTCAAAATAACATGACGATTTTGAAACTCCTCTCCGAAGAAGTGTTTGACTTCTCATCGGGTCAAATGGTTCAGGTGAAGGTGGACAAACTGAAGGAGACGATGCACACAGAATTCTCGGAAATTTTCAACCTCTGTCAATTCGTCATGGAAAACACGACCAGTCCCCACCTTATTTTGGCCACGTTGGAAACCTTGTTAAGATTTCTGAACTGGATCCCTTTGGAGTATGTGTTCGAAACGGAGTTAATCAACGTACTGACGGGGAAGGTGGGTAATTAATTAGTTAATTAATCCCATCATTAATAATTAATTAATCAGGTAATTTATCCGCTCACTTACTAATTAACCGTATCATTTAATAAACTACTTTTCATCCCCTCGTTAATTAAGGAATCAATTAATCCCTTTTTTAATTAATTATCATTATTTAACTACTGAATTTATAAAACCAGCTAATTTTCTTGCGAATTAACTAATCGATTAATCTCCTCGTTCATTAACCAGTTGCCTGCCACATTAAAAGGCATAAGATAGTTGCTAAGCCCCCAATATAACACTTCGAATTTCGCGATCCTGGTACCATTTTTCTTGGACAATCATTTCCAATGCGGCCCAGGATATGCAATGCTGACACGTACGCTAGCGCCCAAATTAATGCAGAGTTGATACTGATAATTTGACATATACAAATTATTTTACTTATCATTGCTTATTTACCAAAGCAATTTTTAGCCCGAGTCAGGGCTTATGGAACCATCATGTCCGTCCGTCTGTCTGTCTGTCTGTCCGGCACGATAGAGCCAAAAAGGCTGAACCGATTGACTTGAAATTTTTACCATATGCATATTGGACAAAGTTAGGAAACGAGTTCGAAGATGGGCGAAATCGGTCAAGTGGTTGACCGATGTGGTCATCGGAGTGGGTGACTCGGGCTATATGGAGTCTGCACTGTAGGTTTATTTCACAATAAAACACTACACTGGCCCAGAGAACGCTTGACTTCTTCACTATCTGCACATGTTTATAAGTTTGAGAAAAGTTTAGGTCAAATATTTGCTATTGATAATAAATACTTTATCGTAATATACTAGCCCCCAAAAAACTCCAGCTTTATAGAGATTATTTACGGAAATTAAAAACTATCTGTTTGCCCGAACCAGGATTGATTAGCAAACTCATGCTTGTCAGAATTTTCTATAAAATTGTGCTACTATTTTGCACTAATTCTTACAGTAACGAGCATATGTTCTTAGTATTACATACTTCTAATTCTAAAAATCCTGTTCCTTCTCCCTAACTACTTCCAATTAGTATGACCAGAAATTTCGAAATTCAACCCTGCTGAATTCTAACCCTAACTTATTTTTCAACTACATACCAAATTTCACCTGAATATATAAACTCATAAAAATCGGTATGGGTCACCCTCGCTGGGGTGACTTTTATTTATGGTTACTTTTTGTTCGTATTTGACTTTATATTATTTCATGAGAAGCCATTACGTATCACTGTGCCGAATTTTAGCTTGTTACGACAATTTCTGAAAATCGGTATGGGTCACCCCAACGGATCCTGGACTATGAAAATTTTACCAATTTCACTTCATATTCTTCCATTAGGGACCATAAGGAGCCTTTATACAAAATTTCAGCTGGATTGGATAATTTGGAAATATCGGTATGGGTCACCATCTCGGGTCCCTCCGGTTGACAAATTTTCCAATTTCACGTTACATTCTTTCATTAGGAACCATTAGCACGCTCCATGCCAAATTTCAGTTTTCTATCACAATTTTGAAATTTAGGTGCATAATACCCCACCGGTCCAAATCTTTTCTCATCGAACCCCATCTTCGAACTCGGTCGTTGCATATACATGTCTGCACCAAATTTGGTTAAAATCGGCCAACTCGTTCGAAAGTTACCGAAAGACAAACGGACATGACGGACATGACGATCTCATAAGCCCTTTTTCGGGCTAAAAAAATTTACACGACTTTGATGTGCTCGGGCGGAAAATTGTGTTTTAGCCCGGGCTTATGTACCCGTTATGTCTGTCTGTCTGTCCGTCCGTCCGTCTGTCTTCGCGATAACTCTCTTCAAACTCAACCGATCGACTTGAAATTTTTACCACATCTATATCTACCCAAAAGACAAATCAAGTTCGAAGATGAGCCGAATCGGTCAAGTGGTTGGCCGGTGGGGGCCATATGGGTGGTGGGGTTATTATGCATCAAATTTTCAAAATTGTTGTAGAAAGCTGAAATTTGGTAAATATGTAACTAATGGCTTCTAATGAAAAGATATGAAGTGAATTTGCGAAAATTTTTATCTGGAGGGACCCTATGGGGTCACTCAAACTGATTTTTCAAAATCGTCCAATTAAGCTGAAATTTGGTATGGAAGTCGATAGCAGCTTATAATGGGAGTTTATGATGTACAATTTTGAAAATTTTGACCCAGAGGAACCCGGTGGGGTGACCCATACTGATTTTGCAAAATCACTCAATTAAGCTGAATTTTGGCGTAAAGATTGGTAAACAAATTCTAGTTGTACCCACCCTGGCTCGGGCTAAGCAAAGCTGCACTGTAGGTTTTTGGAATTACACGACTTTGATGTGCTCGGGCGATAGATTTTGTTTTTGAAATCACACGACATTGATGTACTTGGGCGCATGGTTACCGTACAAGAATTACATGACTTTGATGTACTTGGGCCCTTAGCGACGTTTTGTGCAGCACATGACATTCATGTGCTTGGGAGGCAACTGGTTAATTAATTAATGAATCTGCTCAATTAATGTCTTTGTTAACTAACTAGTCAATCTACTCCCTTGTTAATTAACTAATCAATTAATCCGTAATCCCCTTGTAACTATCCAAAACTAATAAATAATTAATTTTCAGTTCCTCGCCGTTCCCCCGTTTCGCAACGCGACTTTGAAATGTCTCACGGAAATCGCCCCCCTCACGACGCCCTTTACAAAATACTACCCCACCAAATTCCTCCAGCTGTTCAGCCAAACCCTGTCCCAGCTGGAGGTGATGATCCCCCTTCCGATCGACCTCCGCGATGCCTACTCCCGCGGTGGGGACGACGAACAGCAGTTCATCCAAAATCTGGCCATGTTTTTATCCACGTTTCTGAGGAAACATGAAAGTCTCGTGGCCCGACACGTGCCACACCTGCTTTTCAAAGGGTTACAATACCTCGCCCTTATTTCGGAGGTGGAGGATGTGGAAATTTTGAAGATTTGCCTAGAATATTGGAACGACCTAGCTTATAGCCTTCAGAGGTAAGACAATATTTTTGTGGAGATTTTATTAATACCTAACTGCAAATTTTGTAAAGTTGGAAAATTTAAGATGAATTCAGGAACAATTAGGAGACAATTTCCCCTATTTATTTGCAGTTAAAAAAGTTATTTCTCAGGACAATTTTATTACGTGTTTTTTAATAAAGTTGGTAGGATTTATATGCAAATAACCCTTTATAACTGTTGATAACTTTTTATTAAAAAGTTATGTCTCATAATTTTTGCATAATTTGTACATAAACCTCGTAAATATATAATTTTACTGAAAATTATGACGCTAATTTTTATCTTGCAGTGAAATCTTCTTCTACTCTCACTCCAACCGGAACCTCTTCTACGGCCCACTCCTCTCCATGGTGCGATTCGTTCTGATCACCCGGATGGTGAAACCGGAAGAAATCCTCGTCGTGGAAAACGAGAATGGAGAAGTGGTCCGTGAATTCATGCGGGACACGGATTCTATTAATTTGTACAGAACTATGAAGGAAACACTGATCTCATTGACCCACTTGGACTGCCAGAGCACGGTTAAGATTATGAAGGAAAGACTAAAGAATCAGGTGGATGGGAGCGAGTGGAGCTGTCAAAATTTGAACACGGTGAGTAATTAAGTAGCGGTAGGCAGTGAATAATTTAATGCGATCGATTTGTCCGTCGCTAAAGATGATAAATCTCGACTTTTTGAGCTCTGTTTTTAGATATTGATATCTAATTTTAAAGTTAAGACGGACTACGTTAGTTAACTGGTCTCGTAGGTCAAAAGGTCACAGCGCGAGGTCAAAATTTTGCATTTCGTGGCAATTGAAGTGTAAACGCCAAATTTTCAGCAATTAGCTTCCCTTATTTCGTTAAATCTGTTGCTGAAGTTTATTTAATAACAAAATTAACTAGCATTAACTTAACTAATTTTATTACTGTATTTCCAGCTCTGCTGGGCAATCGGCTCCATTTCCGGCGCCATGGGTGACGATGACGAGTTGCCCTTTATCCTGACCGTGATGGAAGATTTGTTCGTGTTGTCATCCCAGAAAAAGAAGGAAAATGACGAAAAGGGGGTGATCACGTTTAAAATATCCTTCATGTACCTGGTCGCCCAATACCCCCAGTTCCTCCGGGCACATCCAGAATTTCTGAAAATTTTCGTCAGACTCCTCTTCGACAATATGCACCTGACCCAGGAAGGAGTACAAGACATGGCGTGCGATACTTTAGTGAAGATTGGTAATTGTTCTGAATAATTAATTATTAATTTAACGTGTAAGTAATTAATGAGGAAATTAACGCAGTCATTGGTTACTTGTACAATCCGAAAACTGGTAAACTATTCCAAAATTTTGCAAATATTTCCAAGAAAAATTAGCTTGCAAATTTTTGTAAAGAAAAAAAAACAGAGGGAGAAATTTCTTTGGAAAGAAATTTCAAAAAAGAACATTTTTGAGACAGGTTTTCAAAACTGAATAAGTTTAAGTGATAAATACTTAGGAAATTCACGCAGTCATTAGTAACTTGTAAAATGCGTCAACCTTTATAATAATTTGACAAGCTTTTACAAAGGATTCTAAATTTTTAACTAAACAAAAATGTAGATTGGATTTTTGGAAAACATATTCCTTCCTCAATAGTTTGTTACTTTTACAAAATAAAAAGACGCCCGCGATCTGAGCAAATTTACAAAAAATTATAAGCTAATTTTCCGTAGGAATTTTTGTAAAATTTTGCAAAATTTACGGTTTTACGATGTTAGGCGTGAATTGCTTGATTGAATGTATAATTAATTAATTATACAGGTCAGCATTGTTCACACCTCTTCGTGACTGTTCAATGTTCACGGTTCACTGTTCAAAACGGAGGGAATCATCCCTTCATCGAGGAGATTTTGACAAGATTGCCGACCATAATTTCCGACCTGACGCCGGGGCAGGTGCAAACATTTTATGAAGCCGTTGGCTACATGATCGCGGTAGAGGAGGATAACTTACTGCGAGATAATTTGATCGAGAGGTTGATGACGTTGCCGAATAGGGTAATTAACTAATTAATAGATTTATAATTGAGGTATGTAAATAGTAAATGAGGATTTGGATCATATAATTTGAATTGTGGGGTTCCAGGCTTGGGATGCCATTATGAGTCAGGCCGCTCGGAATGTGGAGGTCCTCAAAGAGATCGATTGCGTGCATCAATTGGCGTGTATTTTAAAGACGAATGTACGAGCGGCCAAGTCTTTGGGACATGTTTATGTGGGACAGGTAAATTTAGCTGTCGGTGATTTTTTTGTAATTGTGTAAATTTTATTGGGTGCATAATTTCCATGAACTGAGATTTTTAAATGTGCTTTTTAAATGTGCTTAAATTTTGCAAGCCGTTCTAATTTTAATTGATTATCGAATAAGCATCGCAAGTTTTTAAACGTATGTAAGCTTTGTAAAATTCGCAATCTTTATCGCCATAAATTGGACACTCTGAGCTTGCAAAGTTGTAAATTTGCATTAATTAATTAATTAATTGTTCTTCTTTTATTCAATAAATTGTAATCGGTATAAATTCATAATTTCTGCTCAAATAGATCAGTAAATAATTATTTGCATTTATATTATCTAATTTCCAGCTCGGTCGGATCTATCTCGACATGCTGAACGTTTACAAAGTCACGTCAGACAACATCACGTCCGCCATCGGCACGTACGGCGAGTCCGTCACGAAGCAGCCGGTCATTAAAGGGATGCGCGTCGTGAAGAAGGAAAGTCTAAAATTAATTTCGACCTGGATCAAGCGCTCTGAGAATCCAGAAATGGTTCTCGACCACTTAATCCCCGCCTTGCTGAACGCAGTCCTGCTCGACTATCAAATCTGCTCCGTCCCATCGGCCCGCGAACCGGAAGTGCTGACCACCATGGCGACAATTGTCAATAAATTGGAGGCCAGGATAACACCCCAAGTGCCCAAAATATTTGATGCCGTGTTCGAATGCACGCTCGGCATGATTACGAAAGACTTTCAAGAGTTTCCTGAACATCGAGTTGGATTTTTTGAATTGGTTAAGGTATTGAAATTTAGAGGGGTTGTGGATGTCATTAAATATTATCGTAAAACCCAAGTTTTGATTTTATTTAATAACTAAAATTGTTTCGGATTTACGATTTGTTGTAAAATATTTCTTAGCTTAAAATAAGGTCAAATCTTTGTTGCATTGTAAATTCTACTAATCGAAAACCGGTTTGGCTAAAATGTTGGAAATCGGTTTTTCAAAATGTTGTAATTCGGCTTCGGTAAAATTTTAAACATCAGTTTTTTAGAGTAAATCGAAACCGGTTTTACCAAAATTTTAAAAACCACATTTTTCAAACATCCTTCGCTTTTATGTGTTCTAATTTAATCATTATTCCACTATTTTTAGGCCGTGACGACCCACTGTTTCTCAGCCTACTTGACCATCCCACCTCCTCAATTCAAACTGGTCCTGGACTCGATAATTTGGGCGCTAAAACATACCATGCGCGCCGTGGCGGATATCGGACTGGATATTTTGTATACCCTTCTGCAGAAGATATCCGTTCAACCCGTAGAGATTTCCCGATCCTTTCATGAAACCTATTTCCTCGATATTCTCGAGCACGTGCTATCCATCGTGACGGACTCCTCCCACGTGGGCGCTCTCTCCATGCATGCCACCATCTTGGCGTACCTCTTCTCCATCGTGGAAATGGGACTTGTTCAGCTACCAGGGGCTGAGGGTAAATTAAATTAATAAATGCGTACCCACTTAAAAATAATGTTATCCTTTTGAAAAGTAAATGCATTCAAAATTCAGTAAACTAAACTAAATCCTGGGTAACGCTGACTTGATAAAGTTTGCTCTGGATTTAGTATAGTTTACTTTACGTAGGACTCGATGAATCGTCAAAATCGAAACATTTTTAATCACTTCTTGACACTGATAATTTATTTGAAAATTTTAGGCGACAACTTTGTGACTCAGTCAGTAAGTTGATTAATAGAATGTCGGTGATGTTTTAGCCAGTTTTAATGAATTCCAATTTTTCTGAAAGCTTCTAAAATTTGAGATCTCTTCCTTCAAGAACGGTCAACATCTGGAGTGCATATTTAAAAAAAAGATTGAAAATGACTTCTTGTTCAAATTTGTAGGGCAGAATTAAATAAATTCCAAGAACCGAAAAAAGAATTTAAAAATGTGCTGATTTTGGCGATAACATCGAACATCGAACTCTACGTCAATATAAATATATAAGAGTGCATTTACTTTTCAAAATGGTAGCATCATTTTTAAAACTGCAATTACATTTGTTAATTATTTGCTAATTGCGAATCACTTAATTGCTACAGGGGTCAGTGGCGGCGTGGCGGTGTTGGTGCAGACCCACGTGATGGATCTCCTTAAGCGTGAGTTTCCCCACTTGACGGACAACCAGGTCAAGGTCACGGTGCTCGGCATGTTCTCGCTTAACCAGGACGTGACCAGATTTAGGGACCATTTGAGCGACTTTTTAGTACAGATTAAAGTGAGTTTATTTATTTATTCAAATTCTGAAAATGTATACAAATTTCGTAACCAATTTTGTTTCTTATTTTAGGAAATTACTGGCAACGACGAATCAGACCTTTATTTGGAGGAGCGTGAAGCCACATTGCAGAAAATTGAGGCGGAAAAGGGTCCATTTTACATGGCCGAGAATGGCTGTTTGAATCCGGAAGGGGAAGACGTTCCTAATTAATTTACATATTTGACAATTTACATAATATTTACTTTTTGACCCTTTATTAGTTTATTTGTTTTTTACTAAATGTATGACAAGTTATATCGAATTAGTTATGTTACTTAAAACTAAATGTTTCCTAGTTAATTTTGACCTCGTTTGACTAATATACAAAATTTAAGTAATAGTTAAAATTTTGAATTCACAAAACTTTTTGACCCCTCGTTACTATTTTTTTTACTTAATAATATATCCCAAATTCGTACAAATTAAGGTAGTTCGTTAAAGATAAATGTTTCCTAGTTAATTTTGACCTCGTTTGACTAATTTACAAAATTTAAGTAATACCTAAAACATTGAATTCACGATATTTTTGACCCTTCGTTGTTATTTTTTTTTTTACTTAATACTATATCCCAAATTCGTATAAATTAAGGTAGTTCGTTAAAGATAAATGTTTCCTAGTTAATTTTGACCTAGTTTGACTAAATTTTAGCAACTTATAAATACACAATAAATTGAAAATAATACCTAAAATTTTTGATTTATGGAACATTTTAATTCAGTAAACTTTACCTTATTTGACTAAAATTTACCAGCTTATAAATATAAAACAAATAGAAATAATAGGTACACAACTTTGGAACATTTTGTAAGTAAACTTAAAAAAAAATATGTAGGAAATCGACCCTTATGAAAAAATTCTAAATTTTGTTCGGCAAATCAAGCATATATTCGCACAAGGAAATTAGCTTCGCCAACATTTTATCTTGAATTTCAAGTCCCCTATTCGGCGTGGTAGCCCATTTCCAGGCGGAGGCAGCCCACGACAGTTTGGGGGGTGGTGGGGGCGGTCGGGGTGGTCTCCTCAGTCCGCCCGTCACGTTGATTCGGTGGATGAGATAGCTGCTCCTGTTTCGCATGGAGCTTGGCGGAGCGAAGAGTTGCTGTCTGACGGTCGGGGGGAGGGTCATGTCGTAGGTGTGGTGATAAGCAGGCCATCGCTTATCAATATCGAGTCTGGATGGGAATGACCACGGCGGACAGTCCGGAAGTTTCAGGAGGGTCGCGCCACTGTAAGCGGATTGAGGAATGTCGCTAGCTGAAGGATTTGTTTGGGCAAAAATCCTCCTATAAAAAATAAAATAAGGGTACATTTTTGAAAAAAAATCGGTAGTATTTTATAATAAATAATAAATAATAAATATGTAGGTACAAAATGAGCCAAAAGTGCAAGTCTTTTTCGCATCGATTTCACCAAATTGCACATAAAAAATTACAAATTCAGTTTTGGGTGGGGGGATTAATATAGCATAGCTGTTTTTGAATTATATTCAACCACACCCCCTTCAAAAATTGGGGAAGAAAATTGGGAAAAATGAGAAGGTCAATGTACACTCGGAAGTAGATACCAACTTGCATTTGACATTTGACTTCCCTCATGAATATGAACATTTTGATGCATCAAGACTTTCAAAATTCGAAAATTGGCGGTTTTTCGACCTACATATAAATCGTTAAAAAAGTGACCTTAGCGGTCATTTCGCGGCTGACAACCTGATGCCAGATTTTTCTTCGTCAGAAGTGCCACATTTTCCGCTTTTGTTGTCCGCTGCGAAATGACCGCTACCATGACTTTTTTGGGGTCAAAGTTTCTGAGGGAGGGGCTTATACGGCAGGAGCCGTAACAATGTATAGGTATTTATGATATACATAAAGGTAATTACATAGAAGCTATTAAAACAGCCTCAAATCGCCCCAAATTTAAAACTTAAGCTTTTCTGAATTTATAATGATGATATGCATTCGAAAATTAACGCTATGAGGCTTATCAACGAAGTTATCAATTTTTCAGATAAGCAAATTTAGTTTATCCAAATCGCCCCAAACTTAAAACTTAAGCTTTTCTGAATTTATAATGATGATATGCATTCGAAAATAAACGCTATCGGGCTTATCACTGCGCTTATCAGTTTTTAAGATAAGCAAATTTAGTTTGTCCAAATCTCCCCAAATTTAAAACTTAAGCTTATCTGAATATATAATGGTAGTATCCACTCGAAAATAAACGCTATCGGGCTTATCACTGCGCTTATCAGTTTTTAAGATAAGCAAATTTAGTTTGTCCAATTCGCCCCAAATTTAAAACTTAAGCTCAACGATTTATCAACTGAACCAACTCGTGTAAGAGATGAAAAGCATCTCAACACGAGTTGGTTCATAATCCCGGTAAACAATTTGAAGAGAGTGAGAAGTGAGACGGACCACCATACGGCACTGGCAACGACAGTCAGCGGTGGTGGTCCACCAGAATCCGAGTCTCACTCTGCCTTTCGCTAAATAATGGAAACTGCGTTTGTGAAACGGTTGGGCTGGTTCAGCTCTGTACATAAATTAATTTCACTTTAAAAGTCGATGAAAAACCTAACAAAATTCCTCTTTGAAAGTAGGGTGATGAAAATGCATACGAAAAATTTGAAAAATCCCCAAAATTAAAAAAAACATAATCCACAAAAATCCATCCACCTCATCTTTTCGCATAAATTGGTATTTTCTAAAGTCATGAAAATTCAGCAAAATTATTTTGAGAACTAAAATGTAAAATATGTAATCCACCTCGTCTTATCTTTTCGCATGCAAAAATTAATATTTTCTATATATTAACCGTCCGTAAGAAAGACATGGGAGGCCAGTGGTGCACCACCGCCATCGGCTTCCCATGTATTTCTTACGGGAGGTAAGCGGTTTCTACTGCACATTTGTCTGCTCGCTGTCCTGCTCTTACGTGGTCCGGCTAATAAGATCATGAAAATACGAAAAGTTTGAAAACCCCCTTAAAAATGCCTAAAATCTCCAAAAAATCTACCCCACCCTCTCATCTTATCTTTAAATAAATATGCATAATTTACCTCTCATCCTCCGACCCCGGCGTCGTCGTTTCCGACAAGATTCCCGTCTCTTGCAACCGGTCAAAGTCGTTTCTCCACTTGATGCCAAACTTGTCCCGGACGATGGCCATGTCCCTGCCGAAATTGGGTTGGTCGGTGGGCGAGGGGAGGTAGACTCGGACCCACGCGGGCGCCACGTGCTCCCCCACCCCGGCAGGATTCACATCCGGCCCGAAACAAAAACCATATCGGACCAGGACTCGAACCACTTTGAAGTACATGAAGGTCAAGAAGGCAACCCAAAGGAAGAAAACTACCCATAGATTTATTAACAGTTCCGCCATGTAGTTAAAGTCTTGGAGGACGGAAATTGCGCCGTTGAGGGACATGATCACACTTTTGTAAATTTATAAAAACAAAGATGGAAAACTTTTTCGAAAAATTATGTCCAAAATTTTAAACTTGAGGTAAGAATTCGACTCGGTGGTGATAACTTAATTTGGACGATTTTAGGAGAAATTGTGTCCCAAAGGTAAGTTCAGGGAAGAATTTGAGAACTCGCCAGGAAGAATGAACTGAACTGAAAGAAAATAAAATCTTTAAGAATTGGACAAATTTTAATGGAATTTTTAGATATCGTTTATTATCATCTAGTCAATAATAAGTAAATAGATAGATATGCACATATCATTCATAATGCGTCTCACAATGAGAGAGACTCTCACTCATTCTCAGCCGGATGCATGACACAAAGGCGAAGAGAATGAAAGGCAAGATCGAGATAACGTGCGGAGGAGGACAGTCTGCCTAATTTGCATGTCTACATACCTGAACTGACTGGAAGGATAAGAGATAAATAAGTCTGTTAATAAGTTTGATAAGGATACAAGCGAGAAAAAACTTGGTATAGAATTTATACAATTGTAAATTTGGGGAGAAGTTGTGTCCCAAATTTTGAACTTGAGGTAAGAATTCGACTCCGTGTGGGTAAAATAGGCAAGTTTGGGCGATTTTTTTTAGAAATTCTGTCCGAAATCTTGAAATTTTTAAGAATTTGACAAGTTAGAGTGGAATTTTTACATATCATTCGTTCGTCGCATCGACATATTTAGTCAATCATAGGTAAGTACTTATCATAATGCCTCTCGCTCATCCTCAGCCGGATCCATAACACAAAGGTGAACAGAATGAAAGGGAAGGTTGAGATATCGTGAGGAGGACAGTCTGCATAATTTGCATATCTATTTACATACAGTCTGGTTCAAGTGCCGGGGGATTGGAACTTAGTACCTGGGAAACGTCACCCAAAAGTTCCGATCCCCTGGACATTTTAGTTATGTAGGTTACAGGGAAACGGAACCCACTTGTCGCAGGATTTAGCGGGCTTCGATTCCCCGGTACCCAACATTTTTCTTTAATTTTTCATAAATTGGATATATTTCCAAGAAAAAATTTTATTGTCTCAAATTAACCTCCCACCAATGAAGAACATTGGATAAAAAAATTAGAATTTTTTATAGTGGCGTTTTTCCTAAAATCGCAAATATCTGACAAATTTGAGGAGCGGCAAGTCCAAAAAGGTACGGGGAATCGTCACCCAACAATTATTTTCAAGGAAAAATACAATTATTTTGAGAGAAAGATAATTGTGACACAATTATAACGTAATAATTGTAACAATAACAGTAAAATAATTGTATTTTTCCTTGAAAATAATTGTTGGGTGACGATTCCCCGTACCTTTTTGGACTTGCCGCTCCTCAAATTTGTCAGATATTTGCGATTTTAGGAAAAACGCCACTATAAAAAATTCTAATTTTTTTATCCAATGTTCTTCATTGGTGGGAGGTTAATTTGAGACAATAAAATTTTTTCTTGGAAATATATCCAATTTATGAAAAATTAAAGAAAAATGTTGGGTTCCGGGGAATCGTAACTTTTGCGTAAGAGGGTACCGGGGAATCGAAGCCCGCTAAATCCTGCGACAAGTGGGTTACGTTTCCCTGTAACTTGCATAACTAAAATGTCCAGGGGATCGGAACTTTTGGGTGACGTTTCCCAGGTACTAAGTTCCAATCCCCCGGCACTTGAACCAGACTGACATACCTGAACTGACCCAGGATGAGAGATAAGCTTATTAATAAGAATATATCTAGGCAAGGAAAAAAGCTCTATAGATTCAATTGACAAGACTAAATTGTAAATTTAGGGATAAATTGTGTCCCAAATTTTGAACTTGAGGTAAAAATCCGACTCGGTTTTAGTAAATTTATAGTAAAACTTGGTAGATTTTAGGGGAAATTTTGTCCCCAAAAAAATTAAGGTAAAAGAATTTGAGAGGAAGAATGAACTGAACAGACTGAAAAATAAAATTCTTGAGAATTGGACAAGTCTTAGTGGAATTAGATATCATTCATTCATCATCCAGTAAATAAGTAATCCATTAAATAATGCCTTTCACTAATCCTAAGCCGGATACACAAAGTTGAACAGAACGAAAGGCAAGTTTGAGATGAAGTGAGGTGGACAGTCTGCATATTTTGCTTATCTACATACCTCAACTGTCCTCAACTGACTCAGGATGTGAGATAGATAAGCTAGTTAATAAGTTAATGAATTGGAAATATAATCTAAAACTAGACTCGTTTTTAAAATAATGTAGCCACGATACTCATTTAATCCATACTGATCACGATGAAATGAAACCACATCATAAAAACAATTTTTGATAGAAATTATGAAAATTTTTATTTTTCATGAAAAAACATAAAATTTCATCCAAGTTCTCTCCTGCCCGTCATTCTGCTCGCGGACCGCGCTGGTTGACATTTTTCTCTCAACACTCTCCATTTGACGTTGCAAATTTTACGTTTTAATTATTTTGGACAACTACTTAAAATTTTATAAGTTATTTTGACATTATCTTTAACCAGGGGGATTGGGGATAGAAAAAGTGACAAATTTGCAGTCTAAAGTAATCTGATAAGTCGGAATCTTTCTGGAATAATGATGGGTGAGAGTTTCTTAAAATTATAATTATCATCGTAATAATTTTAGGAAGACTAATTATTCTTTTTCCATGGTGACTCCAGCGTTCCTAAAATCGTCGAAAACGTTTTATTTGGATCAGATCACGGTCATGTTTAAGGAACAGCTTTACTCCAGCGTTCTTTCATTTGTGAGTCGGTCGGGGGCATATTTGTTTTTTGTTTGTTTTAATTAATGTCGTACTTAAATTTGTAGGGAAGTGTGGCCTTGAATTTGGGAGAACGGTATCCCGAACATGTCAGCGAGGCGCAGCAGGTCACGATCCTGATCATGTGCGGTGATTCCGCCTATTTCACGCATGACTACGTCCAGGCGGAATCCTTTTATCGGAAGGCCCTCCAACTTGGCAAGTCCTTGTCGAAAGGGTCAACGTCGAAGGAGTGCGTCCCAGAAGACAACAATGGTTCGTTGATTTGATTATTGTTGTCAGGGTGGGAGAATTTGCGAAATTCTTGAAGGAAACTTGCAAATTTTTCTGTGAATCTTACTTTTATGATGTTTTCGCAAAAGTCTCGTGATGATTTATGCCATGTTTTTGTTATATTTATTTGCAGACATCAAGTACAAGCTGTACCTTTGTCTGATGCAGTGTAAAAAGCCAGAAGAAGCGCTCAACATGCTCCAAAGTATCCCAGCAAAGGGGCGCGCGGTCCGGACGAATATGGCGTTAGGCAAGTTGTACAAGCAAAATGGGATGGAGCGCGCCGCCATCACGGCTTTCAAAGAAGTACTCAAGGTGAGAAGGAATATTGGCGAAATTGATATTTTTTAAGCATGTGTTCCTGTTCAAACTTCATTCAAAAGTCAGTCATCCTGCTTTCTGCTGACTGAAGATTTTCATTCACATTCAATTAGTTTCGTTCAAATTAATTTCATTTTACTTCATCGGACTTCATTTCTTACTTCGCCTCATGTATTAAGTATAGGGTGAAAAGATGAAATGAGTGAAAAATCCTTTCATTTCATAAATGAAATGAAGGAATCCTTAATTCATTTTCATTCAAAATTCATACGAAATTCATTTATCTTTATATTACCAATATAATTTAGGAATGTCCCACTTCTATGGAAGCTATCGAATCATTAATCTCTTTGGGGCTTGGGGATACCGATTTACAAGTATTTTTCAATCACAAGTTGAACAAGATGCCATATTCTGAGTGGTGAGTAAAGTTTGCAGCATTTCAAGAAATATTCCGTTGGATGGATTAAATTTCCCATAATTTTGTCGCGATACGAAAATTACAGATTATAATTAATGACAGAAATTTTTAATTTGAAACATATGTATCTGCCAATTTCCATCCAGGTTCCACAACTGGATTCGAGCTCTGCAACAGCTGTTTTTGCGCGATTATCCGAGCGCGCTGCAAACCCTGAATACCCTGACGGACCACACTCCCCTGAAACATAACCGCTACATGCTTCACACCTTATCCTTGGCGTATACGCTGGAAGGGAATTATGAGGAGGCGATCGGACCATTGTTACTGGTACTTGATAATAAACAAACTTAATTAATTCAAACTACACCGGGATTGTCCAACGAGTTATACCAACGAATCAAGCCAAAAATTAGGGGTCACGAGGCACTTATCATTCCGTTGAATGGCCCCTTTTAAGAAAAATATTGGCAGCAAAGTTTAATTTTTTAGTAAATTTTCTGTCCCTTTCCCTCCATAACCAAGGCGCTCGTGGGTACTTTACCCCCAATATTTTTCTTAAAAGGAGTCATTCAATGGAAAGTTAAGCTTCACGTTATTCCCAATTTTTGGCTTAATTTTTTAATATAACTCGTTAGACAATCAGCGTGAAAAAGGTTACATTGTGAGTACTTATTGCTTCTTCCCAGTGCCATCGCCTAGAACCCGGCAACATGTACGGCATGGACCTGCTGGCTTTTCTTCTATGGTCGAAGAAGAAACTACTCACATTGCAAAGTTTAGCGAACCGTTTATCAGACGTGAACTATAACGAAAATCGTCCCGAAGCTTGGATCGGTATGGTTATCTTGATTTGTGATAACTGTGGTTGGTAAATTATTACTAATTTTCAAACATGAATATAACAGCGCTTGGCTACTATTCACTGCTAATGGAACCGACACAGAAGGGACTCAGTTTTGCGGAGAGGGTGAGTTTTGAAAATACAACTAGCTAAAGAATGAATAGCATGACATCACTAGCGAAACTAGGGGTAGGCAGGGTAGGCATTGCCTAGGGGCCCCCACTCCGTGGGGGCCCAGCTGCTGCCCCGAATTTTTTAAAATTTTTTACGTGTCAAGCAGTAACGAAGCTAGGGGCAAGCGTTGCAGAAGATCATTAAAAAAATCTTAACTAGTTCAAATTATGTGAAGAAATTCTGCCAAATTTTATTTTATAATTTTCAGTTTAAAAATGCTGAGATGGGGTTCACTACTATGAAATTAGCTAATTATTTTTCTACAGGCTTTGCGCGCATCTCCGAACTTTATCAATAGTTTTAAATATTTTAAATGTAGCAAATTCAACCCGATACGACGAGGAAATGACACATATCAGGATGATCCTGGCGTTGATTATAGCTGGTTTAAAAATGATAAATTTACTTTGGTCATTTAACTCAATTAGTCGTAAAGAAATTGCAAAACCTGAAACTCAATGCAATGACGCCAGGGGCCTCGCTCCGATTTTGAAGAAACAATGATAATTAGATAACCTTAGATAAATAATTAAACACATGCTTAAGAATTTTTCATAGTGCTCAGTTTAAACGAAATTATGACAGAATCTATGCGTGAAATTTCCATGTTTGCCATGATATTTTTCTCCCTCGCGAGAAAAATACAGATTCTCGCTTATGTAATCCATCATGATTTTGCTTAAACTTAAAATGCATGGTTTTTTCGTGTAACCTAACATGAAGTGTTTTTTCGATTTTGACCAGACAAATTTGAAATTGTTCACACAAGGAAATACGCCGTATTTTTCCATTTTCCTCAACGTATTTTCACCATGTTTTCCCGTGGCGGAATTTTGAAAAAATTGTCATCAAAAATAATGAATTTCCAAAATATTGTAAATTTTCTAATTTTTATCCGATTTCAAAAATGGAAAAACGTTTTTGCGCAGAATTAAATTAATTTATGTTAAATCGGTACTTACCAAAAATTTTTCAAAATTGATTGTTTGTTACTTTAAAAGTTTTTAGAAAACTATTTCTACACTTTTATGGAAGTAATTTTGAGTTCTTGGAAGCATCGTGGAAGTTTTATGGAATCATTTTTATGTTCTTTCGCGTTTAAAATAGCATCAAAACAGCAAAATTTATAACGTTATGAGAAATCCTAATTTTGATTGAAAATGTATTAAAAATTCAGAAAACACCCGCCTTTATGAAAAGGCTAAAGAACGCTAGTTTCAGTGTGCGAGAAAATTTAAAACCGGAAAAAAAACGATTCATGTCCACTTAATTATGATGAACTCTGTAAGCGAGAATCTGTATTTTTGTCCCTCCCGAGAAATAATTCGGGATAAAAACGGAAATTCTCGCTCATTGATTCCGTAAATTGAGCACTATGAAAAATCCTGAAACACGTGTTTAATTATTTACCCAGGGTTCCCTAACTAGCAAGGTTTCGTCAAAATTGGAGCGAGACCGCTTGAATCTTCTCATTGTGGGTGTAATCTGCCAGTTCTATATTCAATTGTTGAAATCGTGATATTGTTGAAACGATATTTTAATTAAGCCCTTGTCGTTTAACCAGATAGCACACAATTACCTTGCATTGAATCAAATTTATGGTTGCCAAAAAACCACAAAATTTTTCTATTTTCAAAAGTCTCGTCAAATCTGTCAGGGACAGGGGCCCCCAGCGAACCTGTGCCTACCGGCCCCAAATTTATAGTTCCGCTAGTGCATGACATTCAATATTTTGACATGTTTAGGCGCTAACTTGCACGGGGACCAAGTCATATGAAGCCCTCGTCTGCAAGGGTTATCTCCTCCTGGGAAATAAGAAAGCCCAAGAGGCTCTGGAATGTTTTAGAGAGGCGAGCCAACTTTGTGGCAACCGCTTTGAACCACACAACGGTCTTGTGAGGTGTTACTTGGAGCTCCAGCGGTATCGAGATGCCTCCACGGTGGCAAACGGTGCTATGAAAAAATTAGGACAGACGCCACGCGTGTTGACGGTATGGCATAATATTTAACACCAAAACTTGTAGCCGTGTAAAGTAAAGATTGATAAAGAAAAGTGTTAAATAGACCATAAAACAAGGGAACTTCAAAGGAGATACATTTTCATTTCATTCCTGTTCACTTTCATTCATTTGACTGATTATGATAGTGAATGATGACGAACGACAATGAGTTTCTTGTCATTTGAATGGAAATGAGTGAAAGATTAAAAGTCATTTCAGATGAATGATTGGGAATGAATGAATTTTTCACGCTATGTTGAATACATGGGGTGCAGTAAGAAATGAAGTCAAATGAAGGGACCTAAAAATTTTAGGGTGACTTAAACCGGGACATTTTAGGCTAAAAAATTGTCCACAATATCTACTTCGTGGCGATTCAGATATCACAAAATTTTGAGAAAGAGTCAAGAAAGTCTGGAATTTTATAAAATGAAGTTTAACGAATGTGAAGGAACATCTTCATTCAGAAAGACTCACTATTGAATACAAAGTAAATTTTGCAAGCCTTGCGTCCTTTAATTAGGTCATGAAATTTGCACTGTTTTTAAAATTACGGTGAAGATGAAGGTTGATTTTCCAGTTTTACAAATTATGACAATTTTATTATTCCTACAGATGTGTGCCCAACCGTTGAGTAAAGAGCCGCTGAATTTCTCCAAAGCCAAATCTTGTCTGGATAAAGCGCTCCAATTGAATAAGCGCCATTGGCCCGCGGTGCTCACTCTGACCCAGATTTTGGAAGAGGTAAAACAAAGCCATCTTTAAAATTTGAAATAGGTCCAGTTAAATTTTAACACAATTATTTAATTTTTCCTGGCAGGAGGGCCACTACGATGTCGCGGTTCAGAAACTGCAAGAATACGCGGACGGTGGACCGACCCGGGTGCGATTTCATCTCAGAATGGCTCACCTTTTAAGCAAAATGCGTTCCAACGACGAGGCTGCTGACCATTACGCAATCACTTTAAGGTAAGTTGGTCATTACAGATGTAAAAATTAATAAGGAACTAATCCTAAGTTTTAACTGTGTGGAAATTTTCAAAAATTGGTCCTAAAAAAGTCCTAAAAATGTGGAAACATTTGGTTTAGTCAGGTATATTTTACGCGGTAGTTTTACCTGCAGATCATTTCTTTGAGTCCTTTATCTTTGTCGTAATCCTTATCATTTTACGTATCTCACAATGCGATGGTGTGAAGTGTAACCCTCCGATTTGGCTTAAATTTTAAAATTAGGTGGTCCAAGCCAATACAACTAACGTTTCTTCAGGCAGTTTGTGCGATGGTGAGAGTTACTCAAAATATTTGAGGTCAAAGTTCAAAAAACGGCCGACTTTTTTCAGGCGGAGTGAGAAAACTCCACTTCCAGTCTCTTCCCCTCGCTTTGATTTGCAGGTGTCTCGCTCACGCATACGCCTTCATGCACAAGCACAGGCTTTGATGCAAAATAATAAAAAATAAAAATTATTAACTACAGCTTAAAAAGCAATTAATACGCATTCTACATAATTTAATTCATAATTAAATAAGTGCGATTTTTACTTATTTCTAGTACAAATTTACATAAAGTTAATTTATAAATTCGCCAACGGCAAATAAACATGGAAAAACGTAACTTGCTTTCCATTTCGAACGCGTTGGTTATTCCAATTAATTTGTATTTTAAGTGCTCCTGTGTTTGTTCCAATGATTCGATATTGTTGGTACTCGAGCGGATTATGGGGTGATGACGAAAAGCCCGAGTTTAAAAATGTAAACGACGTTTGTTTTAGAGAAAAAAAATATTAGTTGCGACCTGAATTGTGGCAATCCCACATTCATCAAATTCAGCTGGTGCAGTTTATCGTATTGTTTTGTGGACTTTTATGAAAATAATCATATGGTCACATGTACAATGAATAATTAATATTTTTCTACAAAAAAAATTAAATTTAAAATTGTTGAAATGAATTATTTTTCGGAGTGAAAATCAAAGCGAAGGGAAGAGACTGGAAGTGGAGTTTTCTCACTCCGCCTGAAAAAAGTCGGCCGTTTTTTGAACTTTGACCTCAAATATTTTGAGTAACTCTCACCATCGCACAAACTGCCTGAAGAAACGTTAGTTGTATTGGCTTGGACCACCTAATTTTAAAATTTAAGCCAAATCGGAAGGTTACACTTCACACCATCGCATTGTAAGTCCAAAATTAACCCTTTTTCAATCTTACAAGGGAACCACTTCTACTGTCCCATCTCGATTTCCTTCGGAATAGCCATAATCGACAGATAATTTAGTGAAACTAAAACTTTGTCATAGAACATGCGGTGCAAAATCGCGTTTTCGCGAAATATTTGGCGAGAGCTTCACCAAAACCTGCCATTTTCCCAATGCTTTTAACATAGCCACCAGCCTTTCGAACGATGAAATGAACTTTATGGAATATTGAAAAATTATATATGTACATGTCCGCGTAATTTCAGCACGATCACGAATATACAAAAAGTGATGCAAGCTTTTGCCAATTTTTTGCAAATCGCGAAAATCGGAAAAATTTCGCAAATTTGAATTTTTCGTTCCTTTAAATTCAACATAAGTTGCAAAGTTTGACTAATATAAAATACCTTTTGTTATTGCAAAAAATTTGCAAAAATTTGCAAATATTGAAATTCGCAATTTTTCATGAAAATTAGTTAAAATAACTAATTCTAGTCTATTTTTACTCATTTTTCGAAATTATTTGCAATATTTATTTTTGCAAATTGCAATAAAATTGCAATTTATGTCGTGATTTTTTAGTTGTTCTACAAATTAGCTGCTCCTTGATTCGTACATATGTATGTAAATGATACTTGTTTAGTTTTTATAAAATGACAATGAAAAATTGAAAAATTGCGAACTTCAATTTTTGCAAATTTTTTGCAATAAGAAAATCGTATTTTACATTAGTTAAACTTGTAAATTTTGTTGAATTTAAAGGAACGAAGAATTCAATTTGCGAAATTTTTCCGATTTTCGCAATTTGCAAAAAATTGGCAAAAGCTTGCATCACTTTTTGAATATTCGTGATCGGGCTGAAATTACGCGGACATGTACGTATATAATTTTTCAATATTCCATTAAGTTCATTTCATCGTTCGAAAGGCTGGTGGCTATGCTAAAAACATTAGGAAAATGGCAGGTTTTGGTGCAGCTCTAGCCAAATATTTCGCGAAAACGCGATTTTGCACCGCATGTTCTATGACAAAGTTTTTGTTTCATTAAATTATCTGTCGATTAAGGCTATTCAGAAGGAAATCGAGATAGGACAGTAGAAGTGGTTCCCTTGTTAGTATTACTTCTGAATCCATTTCACACCATTGTTTTTTTTATTTAATAAACAGACTGGATCCGAACAATCGCGACGCTCTCGAAGGTCTCGACCGTCTCGACTTTAGGACCATCATGGTGAAAGAGGAGGAGACTGAAGTGACCTCACGCGATATCGGCGTGAGTCCCTTCAACATCGATGACGATTACCAAGAGGTAATTAATTAATTATCTACGAACTAGATTTTTTATAAGTGAGAAACGACTTTATTAATTTTTTCTAGGAGCCAGGGTGGGTTCCACTAAACCAATTTGCTGTCGGCGAACGTCTCTAAATTAGTGAGGAAAAATAATCGTATATTTATTCAAGTACAATTTATTTGTCAAAAAAAATATACGTCACATTTTCATACTTTAAAGAATACATTGTCTATTAATTTGTGCTTACTTAGATAATTGACAAATTTTAAGTTTCGACACATTTATAATTAATAAACTCTGGTTTAAATTGACTTGTTGTTTGAAAGAGTGCGAAATAATTTGCAACATCTGAAATTTTTATAGGCTTGGTAAATAACTTTGTATGTTTTTTGATTAACAAACAATATAACTAAACTTAATAGCTTGACAAAATAGAAGTGTTTGAGTTAACAAAGAATTTTATATTGATTCTGATGCGAATAAATAAACGTCGTGACAGTGACACATATTTTTAAAAATCGTAGGATGACATAAGCTTATTAATAAGTAAGCAAAGGCACAAAGAAGTTCTTTCTTGCATAAAATATTAAATACACAAAAAACGTGAATTATTAATTAAAACATGGAAAAAACTTTACGTAATACACGGCTAATTAAATTCCACATTTTAGTAATGTTTAGGACATATTTTAACGCAATAAATGAACAAACAAAAGTGGACTGATAAAGAAGTGACGATATTTTTACAATTCAAGTAATCTACCCGCTTAATACATACTTGCAGCATTATTTAATCCCTGACACTAATTGGCAAATTATTCTCCCGAATAAACGTCTGAAAATTGTCCTTCGTCTCCTGATCCATCTGTGCAAATTAGTAAAATAAAAACTTATGTACATACTTTTACACCTTTTCAACCCCAAGTTTACAAAATCGTACCAGAAATCCAGCAATAGTCACGCTTCGAGCCGCCCTGCATGACAGAAGGGCATCTCGCATCTCGTCCAACAGTCTAAACTCTGCGTGACGATGCCGGTCACGCCGATGTCCAGTAAATTGAAGTGACGTATTCGACAAACCTACACATTTAATTTTTAATCATCATTATCACATTATATTAATCATCATTATTAAATTGTGTGGAATTATAACCTCTCCATCCCGTCACTCCTCCCAATACCGCAATGACCAGTAAGGAACCAAATTCATGGTCATAAATTGTTGCAGGAGTCCGATAAGACGTCGCAATGTCAAACTGAACCTGCCCACAGGTCAACTCCCAATCGTTGAACGATCGCATCGTTTCCACCAGCGACAAAAAATATTGGTCGTAATCGCTTTGGAATTCAACCCTCAAGTTTAATTTCAATTCCTTCACGGCTGGGAAGAGATACACCAGTATGCGGGGAGCCTGTTCATCCACGTTGTTAAATTGGGGATGATGGGCGCAACGAATATCGAGCGATGTTATCCCACCGTGGCGCGAATGGTAGCCCTCAAGCAGTGCAGAAATGTCACGCACGGAGTCAAGATCAACGTCATCGTGGAATTCAGTGCTGTTGGTCTCTATGGATAAACGTGTCAATTTTGGGAGATTGGTGATGTTCAGCGAGTTCTTGATGAAATACACGTCGGCAGCAAGAAGTCCGAGGTGGGTGAGATTGGGGAAGTGGAAATTCAGCTAAAAATAAAGGTGATAATTTGTTAGACTTGGATAAAATTAAAAACAAATTTTATGTACGGATTTTATGTACCTCGACCGGGTAATCATAACTCCAGCCAAGATATTCCAAGGACAAATTTTCCACAGAATTTCGACAACTTTCCAGCATTTTCTCAACCTTAGAGATGTCGATTTCAAAACCCCAAGGATAATAATGGAATCTTAACTTTTTCAGTTTTTCGCATATCGCCAAATCCAAGTAGAAACCTGCGGTAAGGTCGACTTCTTCCAAGTTGGGGGCCAAGTTGACCAGGTTTTGGCACATGATGGACATCATGGCCCTCGGCAGATCATTGCTACAGTTGGGCGACATATGCAATGTAAATACTTTGAGATTTGGGAGGAGTAGAAATTGAGGCATTTTCGATGGCGTTGCCATTTTATCGAACTCATCTCCCTCGGCGTCGATATAGATGTGAGTCAGGTTTGGGAAATCGTAAGTACTCCAAAGTTCTTGTAGGGGTCCAAACGCCATGACACCGCAGAATTCGAATGTTTCCAACTTGTCAGATATCTCGGGCAAAATTCGGACCAGGTTGGAGGGTAGACAGGTCAAATAAGAACATGTGCAAATAACGATGCAGTCACAGTATCTGTTGTATATTAATCGTATGCTTTTGGCCAGGTCATGATTGGATAAAATCAACTGCTGTTCACATTTTATGGATACTGGCGTTGACACATCCCTACATGACACAATTGCGAGGCAACCCTTCTTCCCGAGATAAGTGGCGCCCACGTCGGCCCAAAGGGTGCACACGAGCCGAACGGACTTTAAAGTAGGGACGTCCAAGGAGCGCAAGACCTTGTGCAGGATCTGGAATAACAAATTGTGTCTGAAGTTGATTTCCAATATGGAAAATTATAAGTTGAATCAATTAAATGGACAAACTATTCAACGTTGGATAAATTTTGAAGTAGTTAATTAAATACCAGCGGATTGAGCAAAGCCTTCGTCGCCACGTCAACATCGATGTCATCGACAAGGTCAAAATTCTCCAATTGTGTGGCCGCTTGATCAACCTCGGTCTGCATTCTGTCCACCAATTATAACAAGCTATTAATTACAAATTCTCAGAGATTGTTTAATAGTGAATAGAAAACAAGTATTCAATGTTAAGCCATAATATTGACAGTAATTCATTGCAAGAACAAAACAAATAATGAAAATCAATTCCAAGCCAGACCTTATTAATTTTTATCCGTAAACCACGAACTACGAACAGATCTTGGTTCACCTTTTTTTAGACAGGGATTGAAGTGAATTTCAAAATTGGTAATTAATTCTAACTAACGAAAATGTACTACGACCAATGATAATTGTTCAACCTAATTCAAAACTGTTAAATATTTATAATTTAAAAATTATAAACCAGGAGAGGAAAAATTTACGAAATATGAAATTCTACCGGCTGATTAAATAAATACGCATATTCTCCCGGTTTTTCTTCTACGTCTCACTCACTTGTCCTGAATGAAATTATTGTTTTTTTTCATAATTCATGAAAAAATGTAGATAAACGGGTACATTTTATAAAAAAATAACTTTCCTAATTTTTTAGTAATTTTACGAATTAAATGAACACTTCTTGCCTGCTTGAACGTCTCTAAATTCATGTAGAAAAAGAATATTCGTATACTTATTCAAGTAAAATTTATTTTCTTCAAAAAATGCGTCAATTTTTTGTATTTAAAACAACCCCTTGTTTATTAATGTGTGCTTACTTAGATAATTGACCAATTTTAAGTTTTGACACATTTATAATTAATAAACTCTGGTTTAAATTGACTTGAACACTTTGTTTGGGGGCCGTCCATAAATTACGTAACACAAGAGGGGGGAGGGGGGGTCATGGGAAGTGCGTTACGAATTGTTATGAAGGGGGTGGGGGGTATAAAAAATTTGTTACGTAACACATTTTATAAACTGGACTAAAATTCGCCAAATATGATACGCCGAGCATATTGAATTCATGTCATCCAAAAGGTTTCAGTGTACGCATGTAGTAAATATACATTTTTCATTAGTTTTCATTAGTGTAAATTGAGAAAAGGTTGCATTACAGTGGGGAATTTTAGGGCGGAACCGGTCAAGGAAGGGGGGGGGGGGTAACGAGTCCATCGTTCGTTCTGTTACCAAGAAATATACGAAAAAATCTAGTTTATTTTTATTTTTACATAGATATGTACAACCAGATCAATTCATTTGCAAAAGTTTGCGGTCAAACTTTGACCTTAAATATCTCAAAATGGAGTAACCGAAATGATCTGGTTGTATAAGTAAAAATAAACTGGATTTTTGGCTCTATTTTGTGGTAACAGAATGAGCGATACCCCCTTTCCTTTCATCGGTGCCGCCCCAAAATTCCGCACAATGCATTGCGAGTGCTAAGTAAATCATCTGCGGTGAAATCAAATTTATGTTACGTTACGAAGGGGGAGGGGGGGTAGTCGAGAAGCGTTACGATGCCGTTACGAGGGGGGAGGGGGGTCTAAAAAATGACGATTTTTGCGTTACGTAATTTATGGACGGCCCCTTGAATGAAATAGTGCGAAATAATTTTTAAAATCTGAAATGTTTGAAGGGTTAATTGACTTGCTATAACTTTTTAATTGACATACAATATAACTAAATATACTTGGGATTAGCTTGCTTAAATTTACTAATGCAATGGAAGTCGAAATTGGCTGACGAAATATTTGAGTTAACAAAGTATTTTATACTAGCGTATAAGCCCGTCACCCGCCGGGCGAGAGCTTATTTGATTTTCATGAAAATTGAGTGGAATTTTGCAAAACTCTAACCAATTAAATATTTTAATCTATATTATAAGCTGAAATTCTCTGTCGTCGACGTAAGTCAAAGGAATTTGTAATGAACGTGAAAGTGATGATATTAGTTGATTGAGATTAATGTTACAGTGCATCGAAGTCAACCGCACAGAATTTCTACGCGACAAAATCACATGCCCACTTTATTAACATTGGAGGCGGGCTGAAATTGAAATCAAATCAATTCAGTTGACCTCGCTGAACCTCAATAGTAGGAAAACTAAAATATTTAAGAAATCTAAACAATTTTCACGCCATACTATGTGGTCGTAAATATACGGTCACAACGAATGGATACTATGAATTAAAGCAAAATGAGTATCATATTGCTATACCCGGTTCAAAATCTGACATAGATATATTTGACGTGTGTTCATATATGACCTTTGACTTGGTCCACACGGTCACTGGTGTGTGGCATGTGAAAGTACATATGATATCATACATATTCATACGCAGCGTTCAAAATCTGTTCAATAGAAGATTTGACTAATTCATCGGAGGTCTGCATGAAGGAAATCGATTCCATTTCTTTAATCTACGTTGTCTGCACATGAAGGGAATGGAATGTGTATAACATGGGCAGCCGATAGGAACATCGAATAACCATGAGGACATTGTCCCTCTGTCCCCACCCACCCTTCCGCGGCTAATGTATATTTTTTCTGGTGTTGGGGGCGGACATGCTCTTTATGTGAAACTGCAGTGAGACCTGCAAAACAGTCTTGAAAAAATATTAAATAGCTGAGGTCATTTATTGGTGAGTGACCCCACCAACAGATCGCAACACCACGCAACACTGGGGGTGTAACAACTTTCGATAGACAAACCCCAGCCAATGTCGGGCACCCCTCTATTACTTCCAGCATAGCGGTAACTTTATTCCACACATGAAGGGAACGGAATCCATTCCCCTTCCCTTCCCTTGATGCGAAGATTTCACACTTCATCTGAAGTATATCCAAAGGGAAGGGAAATCCATTCCCTTTCCCTTCCCTTGATGTGAAGATTCCCTACTTCGCCAGAAGTATATCCAAAGGGAAGTGAAATCCATTCCCCTTCCCTTCCCTTGATGCGAAGATTTCACTACTTCATCTGAAGTATATCCAAAGGGAAGGGAAATCCATTCCCTTTCCCTTCCCTTGATGTGAAGATTCCCTACTTCGCCTGAAGTATATCCAAAGGGAAGTGAAATCCATTCCCCTTCCCTTCCCTTGATGCGAAGATTTCACACTTCATCTGAAGTATATCCAAAGGGAAGTGAAATCCATTCCCCTTCCCTTCCCTTGATGCGAAGATTTCACACTTCATCTGAAGTATATCCAAAGGGAAGTGAAATCCATTCCCCTTCCCTTCCCTTGATGCGAAGATTTCACACTTCATCTGAAGTATATCCAAAGGGAAGGGAAATCCATTCCCTTTCCCTTCCCTTGATGTGAAGATTCCCTACTTCGCCTGAAGTATATCCAAAGGGAATGGAAGAGGAAGGGAATCCCATTCCCTTATGTGTAAGCTAAGTAAATCTATCTTGTAATTTAAACAATCCAATGTAAATATGGGGTACCCATGAAGGGAACGGAATCCGTTCTCCCTCCCATCATTCAGGCATATCACTGGTTTGGAAACGGGCCTGAATGAATGGAACTGAACGGAACGTCGGTAACCATATTCCAGGGGGGCACCCCTCCCAGTTCCCCCAGCAGAGCGATAACGATATCCCAGAGGGACACGCCCTCCCACTCCCCCCAGCAGAGCGATAACCATATCCGAGGGGGCACGCCCTCCCACTCCCCCCAGCAGAGCGATAACCATATCCGAGGGGGCACGCCCTCCCACTCCCCCCAGCAGAGCGATAACCATATCCGAGGGGGCACGCCCTCCCACTCCCCCCAGCAGAGCGATAACCATATCCGAGGGGGGCACGCCCTCCCACTCCCCCCAGCAGAGCGATAACCATATCCGAGGGGGGCACGCCCTCCCACTCCCCCCAGCAGAGCGATAACCATATCCGAGGGGGGCACGCCCTCCCACTCCCCCCAGCAGAGCGATAACCATATCCGAGGGGGGCACGCCCTCCCACTCCCCCCAGCGACCAGATAACCACAATTATGAGTTTGCGTTATCTTCCCTTCAAAACGATAAAACCAAGGATAACTGACTTATCGACTTTCCAACCGCTCGTACCAACGCAGCTGATATGCAAATCACTTTCTCCACTTTCACTTCCGTTGCAGAAAGACATTTCCAGCTTATAATATAGATTGATGTTGATGCGAATAAATAAACGGGGTGACACATTTTAAAAAACAATCTTTGAGAATTGGACAAGTTTTAGTGAAATTTTTATGGTATAATTCATCAATAATTAATTGGTACGTATAATGATAAGTTGACCATCACATTTATATAGATAACTCCACATTAATTTAAACCTGGTCCTTATTAATGCCGAAAAAATTTATCTTCTCATGGAATAAGACGACCCTTCTCACCCCATCGACAATTTTGACCCCTTGAGCATAATAATTGGACGCCGTGGTCTGGTCGATGTACTCCTCCGCCGTAAAATCCACCCTCAGCAGCGTTTCCGTACAGTCGACCGGAGTTTGAGGAACGACTTCCGGAATTTCATTTGGTTGGTCGGAGAGTAATTTTCTAGCGGACCAATTGACATTATCCTCAGGAAACACGGACGGATTCAGTCTGACGTACTCACCCGGATTTGTGAGGAAGCGGAGAAACTGGTTATCCAGGGGGACAGGAGCATCATTATTGTTCAATAGTTGTCTAATTTGCTGGACAAAATAGGATCCACTTCTTGGACGATGTGTTTGTTCAGATGATGATGACGTTTCCAGTTTAAAGGCAGGGACGACGATCGACTTTTCTTCTGCTTTGCCGACGGGGACAGCTTTTTGTGGAGAATGAGCAGAACCAAAAGTTGATGAAGATGGTGTCATAATTGCTTTTGGAGGAAGATCTTTGTCCGATTGTTGACCTCGGTATTGCGGTATCTTCAGGAAACAATTGTCAATTTCCTGCTGAATTGATTTGTCATTCATCTCTGCATTCATGGATGGATTCTTCAAGTTGCCATAAAATGACGACATTTCTTCAAAAAGCAGTTCCATTCCTGCCTCCAGGGTCGGCACCATGTCCAAATCCAGGTCACCATAAGCCACCTTAAAAATGTTGGTGACGGAAGGAAACTTTCCCTTGGGGGGATGACATTGTCGTACTTTCCTCCACAAGTGGGCCACGTGAGGTAAGTTCTTTAAGAAAATATGAAAAAAGTTTCTCGTAATTTGATAATTTATCATCAAGTACCTATATATAGGATTCTTACAATAATAATTTATGCATGCACACTCTTAAAAATCATGAGTGCAACCATTTTAAGAGTGCAACCATACATGTACCTTTTCCTTATCTAGGGAGACTGCTTGTTTGAATAGGAACCCTAAATGGCCGTCGAGCGACTGGGTGACCCAAATTGGTCCACTCCTCCTCGTCACCGCCTCCGCCGTGCCGACATAGACCCAAAGGAAAGCCAGCGCTTCAGCGGCATCTAACAGCTGCGGCTGCCCACTACCATCATTGCAAAGTGGGCCCAGAATCGAAGTAATATTTCGTTTTTTCGTGTCCTCCAACACAGCATTGGTCGCCGCGGTGACCATGACGTCAATTCGGGGGGCGACATGGACCGGTTGAAGAACACGGGTGGCGAAGGCGTCTCGAAAATCTCGTCGCAAGAAGATAAAGGTTTGGAAGTTTGATTTGGCGTCATTTGGTGGTGACGACGGTGTTGGCGGAGCCATCAGGTCGTTTAAGGTCTTCATAAAGGCCAAATATGGGTTGGAATGGTCCATCTTCTAGGAAAAGTAAAGGTGTGAATTAATCAAGAAATTCTTAGGAGAAAAATATGCGAATAATTTATTTAAGTAGTTAATTTTACCTTATTTAAGTCGAGGTGACGAATTGTCAGGCGGGGTTTAAGTATTTTAGAATTCGATCCCCTCGAGTCGAAAGGATTTACCTGAAAAAATGGGAAAAAATATATTGTTAGATAGAATTTTGGTCTCGAGCAGATCGTGATCTACCTTTTTTTAGAAATGGAGCAGAGTAAGATTCAAAATTAGTAATTTCAAATTTTCAAGTTTTTTTTATTTACTCCAAAATGTCAGTTTGTAGTTGCGTGTTGTCAGTTAAAAAAAAACTAAGTTTGCCACAGCATCAGGGGTATTCTAAGAAAAAAGATCGTGTTACTCTTTCTCTAGTTCCCAATTATTAATTGGCAGTTAAAATTAATATGCACTCTTGTATATTTGATGAAAATTTACATACGTGTGTAAAATTTTGTGTAAAACTTACCCGATGAAATTTACATTTTATGCAACGTTGTAAATTACAACTTGTAATCTGGGTTGAGCATGATTTGCGTCCCCATTGTAGCCTGTGCATAGGGGGGGGGGATGTGCAATTTTTTCGCACATAAAGCCCAAATTTTTTGCGAAGGTTACAAACTAATACGCTCTTGATGTAAATAACTATGCAGTGCTGGCTTTGTTTAAGTACATAATCTCGGTACCTGAAAATTTACTCGTCAACAGTGTCCGCGGAAGCGTGGAGACAGGGGGGCAATATGTATGTCATGTCCCCACGGTTGTTCATGTCCTCATCTTCTCTCCATGTTATATAAACCCCTCCCTCCCCTATCCTACAAGGTTAACGTCCCCAAATGTCCCCAAACCTTCCGCGGCCACTGCTCGTCAGTCAGATAGTAAATAAACAGCACAACAATTAAACGAATTTTGTTCAGCCTTACTTAAATAAAAATGTAAGGTAAAAGTCATAACTTCCAGCCCCAAGTTTGTTTATAAGTATGCACGTGACCTTTTTAAATCTTGTATCACAATAAGAATAACATGCACACATAATTTATTCATAAGGTTGACTAAACTTGTAAATTGTTGCATTTAATCCAATTTTTTGTGAATTCTCGTCACGTTTTAAAGTGCTACATGTACGGATCAATGTTGCAAATTAGAGAGAGGGAGACCCTGCGTGAAGAATGTGATGGAATTTTTTTGAAGTTTTGACTCATGCAATTTATTTAAGGTGTCTCATCTCATACACTCGTAAAATCTGGTAATAAAATAATATAAACCGCGGTATTGATATGTGTTTGACTCTACCAAAGTGGACAAGCAACATCGCGTAGTAATAGCTATAGCTCCTCGGTATTAAAGTTTTACCATATTGGTAGAGCAAATTTTTACGGACCGGTATATAATTTTAATACCAAGCGGTAGCAAATTATTTAACACCGAGAAATAAATACCACGCCAGATTATTAAGAGTGTACTTTTGTAATAATAATGTGGAAGGGTGACATGCTTAAATACTCAATTCTACGACATGCCTCATGCACGGACCGTCATGAAAGTGAGACTGATACCACAACTCACAATTTACTTTGACTTGACTTGACTTGATTGAGATGCGGTTGAGTTATGCAGATGGGATTTCGCTAATTCATCGTGGTTCAGTTGAGACAATAGAAAAGCAAATTCTCAAAAAATTCACTCACTTTTTTTTATTACTTATGCATAATCGTGCTGCCTTGTGAAGTACATAAAGGTTGTACATACATAATCTCTAGCCGGAGATGAGGCTTGTGCACCTATACTTCACGTTCGTCTGTCTTTTCAGCAAAATATATGAATGTATGTACGAGTCGGATTTTAAACTTGTGAATTGGGAAATTTTACCTGAATTAAATATGTAAGCTCGGGAATCTAGGCTGCAGTATGAGAAAATAGTAAAGCACATTTTTTCCTATAGGTTTGCAGTACGTTGTACAGAATCGCTCGGGCAGTGCGAAGTTGTATTTGTATGAACGCTCGTTATTGATATTAAAGTTGTGCACATATTTTATGCACACTTTGACAAGGACAGAGTGCAATCTAAATACTTATAAAATAAAGGCAATTTTCTGCTCAATCTTATTCCTACATTTGGACAAGGGAGACATCATGACAAAGTTCGTTATTATCTCGGTTTTGGTGGTGGTGTTTTGCTGGTTTGGGCGCAGTGAAGCTTTTAGCTCGGGTAAGTCGGATGAATTTTTTATTAGAACGATTTCCTTATTTCAAATTTTAATCTTGATTTCTAATCAAGAAATGAGAAATATTGAGGTAATTCACACAGTCCCTTGGTGACTTTGTAGAATGCGTACATTTTGTAAAATAATTTTACAAACAAAACAAAAAAAGACGCCTTCGAGCTGAGGGAAATTTTTGAGCTAAGTTTGATTGGAAGTATTTGAAAAGTTTTGTTAAAGTTTATAAGTTTACGAATTTTAAGAATTTTATAGATTTTTAACCGGAAAATCTATCCTGAACACGATATTTTTTTAGCACGATAAGTTTTTCGCATTTATTTAGTCTTAATTATGTTTGTCAAACATTCACAAATAAATTGTAGGTTGCAATTATGCAACGACTTTTGCAAAAAAAAATTGCAAATAAAAAAAGTTAAAAATACCCGGAATAATTTATGTGCATCTGTTTTCATGATTTCGACTAGGGCGTCGTCACTACGTCCAACTTCCTCTTCCCGGCCAGACGGAAGAAACCCAACCCTCCGCGTGGGACTGGAGTACTGGACGGAGACAAAATTACTAGTAAGTTGATAACCTCACACTCTGTAAACTGTGCAAAGTTCTACAAATACGATGGGAGAAAGCATTTGCGAAATGTCCATTTTGCACACTTAAAAATACGTACAGCGAAGGAATTGTTTTCATAATTTTCAAAAAAGATTTCGCTTCCTCTATTCCAGTCAAGTCCCCCGCATCCTGCCACACCTTTGTCCCCCCGGCATGGTTTCAGCGTACCATGGTTGCGTCACATTTCCATGAAAATATTTGAATCGGGTTCGCTAATAATTTTTGAAACTGTGAGTTGCGTAATTATTTATCGTACTTTCAACAATTCAAGTAGTTAATTAATATATTTTTTAGATCGCGTAACAACTCTGAGGAAATTGATCCCAAGCTTCACGATGTTACATATGTATCAGGATTTTTTAAATTATGATTAAGAATCGCTTGTATTTATGTTGTAAATGATTAATACATATTTAACTAGAAATCAAATACGTAATATTTAAATAAATATTTAAATATTTATTTAATAATATTATATCACCACGTAAATATTTAACTATTTACATGGTGGTGCAGGAGTTTTTTTAGTTTCGTTACCGACGAGTGGATACGTAATATATGTATGTATAACGTTTCTGCGAATGATCAAGAATTATGGGCGCGTGAGCGTATGCACATATAATTTGTTAGATGGGTGAATTTGTTTTTATTAATGGGGGACCTCAGACATCGCTAAAAAATTTCGCTTACTTCGCTCGCTTAAAAATTTCGCTCCCTTAAGCGAGCAAGCGACATAAATTTGTCTGAAGTCCTTTCGCCCACAAATTTTGCTTAATTAAGCTGATACTCCCAGACATCGCGGGAATTTCATATGGAGTTGTTTACATTTACTTTCACTTCATTTACCTCTACTTGAGTAGTCAAAGACTTTGACTCAAATTGATAATTCTATTGTTAAAATGCCTAAGAAGTCAACAAAGACGGATTTAATAGACACATTGGCAATTAACGCAGTCATTGCAATTGATTATATAGAAAGTGACGACGACGCAGAAATTGAAAGAGTTTTTGACAATTTTGAAAACGATATTTTTGAAGTATTAAGTCGGCGGTATGCGACCTCGAGAATAATTAAAACTCCAAAATCTAAGGACTGGTTCTACAATGTGTTGCCTAATTATGGTGAACGAGAATTTAAAGAAAATTTGCGAGTGAGTCGTGTAGATTTTGGAAGAATTCTGAACATCATTTCGACGAGCTCCGAGTTTAACCATGTTGGAGAAGGAAAACAGTTCCCCATACCTGTTCAATTAGCCCTTACACTTTTTCGATTTGGTGTAAACGGTACAGGGTCATCTCACTCCAAATTAGCTCAGAAATTTGGTATTGGAAACGGTACAGTAGACGCCATCACCAAACGAGTTATACGGGTAATATGAAATACATGTTAACATACAAATTAAACAGTAAATGCTGATTATCTTCTTCTCGCAGGCTATATTATCGATAGAGAAAGAATGGATTTATTGGCCTGGTGAAATTGAACGAAGCCGCTTAGCAAAACTTTGTCCACAACTCCCAGGGTGCATTGCAATTGTGGATGGATCTCATATCAACCTGGAAGAAGCTCCAATTGATGACCCACAGTCATACTTTTCAAGGAAAATGCGATATGCAATTCATTTACAGGGAATTTGTGACGCCGGTGGGTCTAGTTACATAATAAGTATATAAATATTTCTAAAATGTTTAAAGTATGCAAACCTAAATACTTTGCTTTCGTAGAATTTCGTCTTCGCCACATTTTAGTAGGCTACCCCGGATCTGTCCACGATGCTAAAGTTTTTTCAAATTCAGAAGTTGCAAAAAACCCGCAAAATTATTTTAACTTAAATCAGTGGATCGCAGGTGACTCAGCTTACAAGTTAACCCCATTTATGCTAACAACTCTAAGAACAAATTCAACTATTGGAACACAATGTCAAAGAGGTACTACTGGTTTTTAAGTTTTTATGAATTTTAATTAATATGCCAACTTATTATTTTTACGGTTGTTTCAGAAAAGTTCAACAAAGTCTTCTGTAATTTTAGAGTGAAAATTGAGCAGGTGTTCGGCAACCTTAAGGAAACATTCTCAAGTTTAAAAGAGCTAAGAATGAGAGTAAATTTCCAGTCTGGACATGAATATGCAGTGCAGTGGATAACTTCGTGTTGTATTCTTTACAATATTATTTTAGAATCTTTAGAAGAGTATCCTATTTCAGAAGACATGCTTGATGATGATAGTGGTATTAATTCAACTAATCATGTCCCAGCGTCAGCGATAGAAAAACGAGATGAAATATTCAATTTTGTTGTAAATAATTAATGCCAACAGGATGTTTTTGTTCCTATTAGGAAATACTGGAAATACTTATATTTTCCATTTTTTAGACCAACATGTATCAAACTTTAAATAAATTTAACGAACTAAATAAAATACCACAACAAATTTGTATGAAAACCTTTATGACTTCTTACTATTAAGGAATTGAAGTTTTAGAACATTACATTACTTATTGATATTTGAATATTTCAGAAGTTCTAGTTGCAACTTCATTTCTTCATTTTTCAATTTCTGTTCCTGAATTGATAGCTGCTTCATGTTGACTTCGTGTTGACTTTTATTTTTCTCTCGTTCGATGTCCAATTTTCCCAACTCAATTTCTTTTTTCAGCTGCATCTCTTCTTTCTGCAGGTCCAATGATTGCAAGTCCATTTTCTCCTTTCGGTCAAAAGCTTCTCGTTCAAATTCTAATCGCTGCACAGCTAGATCCGATCGTTGTTTAGATGCAGCCGCAATTAGTCCCATACTTGTAGTAATTGGAGCCTTCCGTTTTAAAATTACTGGTTCACGTTTTGCAATTTTAGTGGTCGATGGGAGCGTTGGAGTCATAACTTCGTCTCTTGGAGGAGGTGATTCACTCTCTTCTATTACGGATCTGCTCGAAATCCCTCCATTGACATCCAGAAGATCCTCCTCTGTAATGATTACTGAATCATCCTCAGTTACCGTCCTTTCACTATTATCTTCATCATTTGTTTCGTGAAGAAATGGCGGCGATACGCTGGCTCGGGTTCCATAAATTTCATCCAAAAGATCGAACAATGGGCACTTTTTCAAAATATACTCTGAAATATAAAGCATTTGTCGAGTTAACAATTATCTTATCTAAAATAATAAAACTTTAAAGATTGGTATACCTCTAACATAGGACTCGTCCACGATTCCTTCTCCAGTCTTATTCCGCCAGGCAATTATCGAATCATACGATTTCTTCAAGTTTTTCACAACATTTTTGATTTGTGTTGGTGTTACATCTTTTAACCCAATTTTATCTTGCAGTTTTGCGTAGTAAATGGATGCAGTTGGTTTCTAAAATATAATTTATGATTTAGAAATTAGTTAGAAATTCTGAGTTTAAATGAAATTTATTTGGTGAAAGTGCTCACTTCAATTATTAATCCCGATTGAATACTGTCAATGAGGTACTGTAGAGTTACTTTTTTTTCGTGGTCTGGCCATTCTCGTCGACCGTCACCTACTACGTTTTTACTTTTATTTGCCTTTGGAGGCATTATTTAATTATTTGTAAATGAAAAATTCAAATTTTATAAAATTTGAACGAGATTTGTAAGTGAGAAATAACATCAGCTGAGCAATAAACCCACGAATGAGCGACTCTAACCCTACTCTGAACCGTCGCTTACAAGAATTTGGGTTCGCTTAAAATCCACCACTTTGATTGGCTGTTTCATGCGCACCGTAGTTAACGCAAGCGAAATTTTTAAGCGAGCGAAGTAAGCGAAATTTTTTAGCGATGTCTGAGGTCCCCCAATATTTGAGGAAAAATCGGTTGATGCAAATATTTTGTATGTTTAATAAAAAAACTGGGTAGGATTAAAGCAAATAAATATTTGCCTACGATCATGTAGATCGTTATTTTCTTTAAGGAAAGCACAATTTTGTTTTATGGCCACACTAACAAATTGTGCATGTGCATATGTACATAGGTAGTTATTTTTAGAACGATGCAAGCACACACAAGGAGCTTCCAATAATTACGTGGGCATCATCAGAAACCCTGCGAATGAAGTAGAAGTATCTATCTAAGCAATACTTGAAATGATCCACATAAATACATACCTATTTTAATTGAGGAAATAAGAGGGTAAAAAGAGTTTACAGAATACACTAATAGATTTGAATGACCCTCTTCAACACACTCTAAACAAAAATGAGTAAAATTTACTCAAGGTTGGGTAAAAAAGGGGATGACACAACTAGAAGGTAAAATTTGTCCAACGTTGTGCAAAATTTATCCAAAGTTGTGTAAAATTTGCCCAATGTTGGGTAAATTTTACCATTTTGTTGTGTCATCCTCTTTTTTACCCAACCTTGGGTAAATTTTACTCATTTTTATTTAGAGTGCAGTTATTTTTGTCCACAGGTTGACTGGTGGTAAAAATGTGATAGTTGACAGAAAGGTTTTTAGGAGACGGTGCACTCTAAGAATGCGGTAGAGTCACATATGTGACTCTACCGCATGGTAATTAATTTATTATTGAGTGGTAGAAAATTAGTTACCAACTGGTAATATTTTTAAACTTCGCGACCGGGGTTATTACCGGTTTGGTAACAAAATGTCTACCACTCAATAATAAATTAATTACCATGCGGTAGAGTCACATAGATACTCCGTCTGGTAATAACTTAGTTACCGGGTTTCTTAGAGTGTGCCCTTGATTTAAACCGAACTAAATACATATATTCATAGCCTCGCAGGAATTTTGCCAGGCCCAGTGCCCAGTTAATTTCGTAGTCAGTGACCCTTCTCTGAATGAAAATACAGTATATTTATTGTGTGAGTGGAGAGAGTTTGTGTTAAGTACATATGAATATATATATTTATAAGTCACCATTCCATTCTACATAAAATAAAACCAGCCAATTCGACCTACTTTCTCTCCAGTTTTGAAATTCTGTGAGAACAATAAGGTTGGCTTTGAGGCAACAGAAACTTATTTAGGTAGAGAAATACGGAAATCCGTATACGTATTTCCGATTCCCTGCAAGAATTTTAAACAAACCATTACGGAAAAGTGTAGTGTGGGTTTAGTTACTAAATTCGATTTCACAAAATGTTATTTCTTAATTTTTGACGCAAAAATATTTACTTGTTTAACATTTTATCCAGTGTGAAATAACGTTTAAGCTATTTTTTCAAACAAAATTTCGAAATGGATCCATTGCTAGGATGTGGAATGACATGTTCCACGTGCTTAAAAACGTTCAGCACAAAGGACAATTTAAGGTATCACATGTTCACGCATGACCCCGATGCAAAGGTGAAATGTGAGGTAATCCTCTAAATTTATTTATGACATTAGGAACTTATTTTACACCTTGACAAACCACATACTCTCCATTCGCACACATTAGAACTATTACAGAAATTGAGATTTCTGAGAAACTACGGCACTGCCAATCTCAAAGTACCCCGTCAGCATAATTTGAGGGAATTTGAGACTCACAGTGCCGTAGTTTCTCAGAAATCTCAATTTCTGTAATAGTTCTACTGTGTGCGAATAGAGAGTATGTAAATTAGTTTTTAGTTTTGAATACATACATAACTCTTTAGATCTGTGGGAAAATTTCGAAAAATCCGAAAACCTTATCCATACACATAAAAATGCTTCACACAATCCGGGACCGACCCACGTGTGACACCTGTCACCGTGTATTTTTCACGCAGAGAACTTTGCAGGGACACATTTATACGGCTCATAACACGATGGAACGACCTCGTTTTCCATGCGGATTTCCCGGATGCGGAAAAACCTACTTAAACCCTGAAACTGTATCGAAACACGTAAAAACTGAACATACCGAGAACCCGACCCGATTTCCTTGCATACTTTGCGGTAAGGAATTTAGGACCAGACGAGACCTCGAATCGCACATTTCCACCCACACGACGGAGAAGGCCTACACTTGTTCCACTTGTGGGAGGAGCTTCGCTCAACAAACGGGAATGAAAGTACATGAGGTACGAATCAATTTACTTACAATGCGATGGTGTGAAGTGTAAATCTCCGATTTGGTTGAAATTTCGAAATTATGCGGTGCATGTCAAGACAACCAACGTTTCTTGAGGCAGTTTGTGCGATGGTCAGAATTTGGCAAAATATTTGAGGTCAAAGGTGAAAACAGGCGCTTTTTACCAGGCGGAGGAAGCAAACTCAACTTCAATGCTCTTCCCGTGCAAAAAATTGCAAAATTTAAATATTTTTGCAAATTTTGACCAACGCACAAACCGTTGAAGAAACGTTGGTTGTATTTACATGGACCACATAATTTCGAAATTTCAACCAAATCGGAGGGTTACATTTCACACCATCGCATTATTGTTGGATAAAATGAAATTTAGCGACTCGAATATTTGCTGATTTTACAGGCCACCCATTTAGAAAAGTCTACCCGGAGGATTGTCAAATGTGGACTTTGTGTTCGGATTTTTTTAAGTAAATCCAACTTGCTAACGCATGTCAAAGCTTTACATGAAAATCTGAAGAATCATCCGTGTCCATCTTGTGACAAAAGGTTTTTGACACCTACAAATATGAGAACTCACCAGGAGGCAAAACATCCCACGAATAAGGAGAAAAATTATTCCTGCGACAAATGCGAGTACAGGAGCCACTCGAAAGGGAATTTAGCCAATCACGCGAGGCGTCACAATCCTGCGAATCGACGAGAGTGCTACTTCTGCCAGAAGCAGTTTGGCTACTTTTCAAGTTTGGTGACACACTGTCGTCGTCATACTTTAGAAGAGTGGAACTGAGGAAAGCTTTTGTAGGTTTTGTCTGATTTTGCCATTAGGCCGACACATTTATCTAAATTACACCCAATTAAAATTAAAGGATTACACAAATATTCACAAGACGTTTACCATAATAAATTAAGTTTGTATAATCAATTAACAGCTTCTGAAAAATAGCTTTGATCGCATGCATTTTCTGTCCATCTAGTGGATAATAACCCCAACGCCTATGCAAGGAAATTTTAAAGCAATTATATGTCCCTCAAAATATTTCTTTAACTGCAGAGAAAATCTTAATTTTGAAACCTTTGTTTTCTTCTCACAAACTGTGATTCTCAGATTTGTACATGTATGTTAAAAAGTGTCAAAGAAGGACAGCAAGTCCTATGGGAAAGTTGACTATTGCAAAAATTGAGCTAAAACTTATCACTACCAGTCTTGATCTTATTAACCACCCACCCAACGTATACATTACGAGATAAGGAATTATAACATGGGAAAGATACGAAGACCATGGACATTCCCCCCATGGAAGTATTTAAAAATTACATACGTAAATACATATACATCTTTATAATTCTAGCCCTCGCCAAACTACCAGAAATCAAGAGCGGAACAAAATCCTA